GACAGGTGCACCCTTGGGTATTATGGCACTGGGAGATAAAGTATCGTCTCTAGAGATCGATGACCAATATATGAGGTTTTGTTGTTCCCTATTTCTCCAAATGCCCTTTGACAACCTGTGAGGAGGGTTTATGTTTCTGCTCTCAATCTGAGATGTGTGCTCTGATCTATGGACATTTAAAAGTGAAGATCATTAGCCATCAAAACACAACCTGCCTTGTTACTGCATTGCATTGTGGTCTGTTTGGACCAAATTCAGCAGGAAATTTGTTATTTTTGCATCTTCCAAAATCAGTTTTTCTCTTAATGATTGTTGAACATTGGTAGAAAATCTGGAGTCCAGAAAGAAACCATTTGACTCCAACTTTATGTTGATATTATTGCAAATGTAACTGTATCTGAGTGGATTTATCCTTTACACTGGGAAACCTCTTGCCTTCTCTCTTTAAGCAATTTTTTCATAATTGAGCTTGAGTTATTTTCCATGGCTTTTTAAATCAATATCCTCATTCAGACTTGACTCACCTCAGCCAGTCTGGAGGGCTTGTGGCTGACCTCAGTCTTGCTTAGTGGTGCTAACTGCTGCACCAGGTTGCGGTTGTTGGTCAGAGCCCGTGTCAGTCTGGCAAACTTTGTCCATCCCGCTTGGAGACAAAAAGACAGATACTTCTTATTAAGTTACACTGTGAAGTTTTCCTACATTTTAATATTACAAAGAGTGTTTTCAGTGGCAGTGAACAATGCAGAACTGTCACTTTTTAATATTACCAATAGAAATAGTGACGTTGAATTGCTGTCGTACCAGCAATATGGAGTTAACAAGTGGAAAAACTGGAAACTTACCCTTAGGTAAGTCATTTTTACCATATATGCAATTGTACTTCAAGGCATCATCCCATCAGACTTTTAAATCCAGACTTTAAACTGCATTTGATGGGCATTTTGTGTCAAGATAAAGTGCGATACAGTAGCACATATACTGTATGCTCCATGGTTTATGTTGACTGTAAAGCAGGTCAGCAGTACTCTGGGAGCCGGCAAATGCTTGTGTTAAGAGGGACTTAATTTCCTTCATGCACAAGCAGTATTTTCATACAGTAACCATCCCCATGTGGTCTGAGTGTCCTTTGTTTCTGCTTGATGTATGTAAGAGACTTAGTGGCACACTTATCCTCAGGCACATGGCACTGCATAGACCCACGGAGACCAGTGTTCACTGACCCGCACACACAGCACCTGGACAGTTGTATGTTACACATCGGGAAGCTAACGTCTCTTAAGTCATACCCACTCATGTGTGATTGACACTTTTGGCTGCACTGCCCCCTAAATGGTTTGATGAACTAAATACTGAAGAGAATATGACCTCTCACCCCTTGTTGATTCATCCTCAATAGGCTGTTTGAAAAGTGTAATGTCTCTGAAGGTACAGAGAAAAAGCACCACCTTGTCCTTTTCATTTCTGATCGGAGCAACCTGCATGTAAAGCCATATCGGTGTTCCTGTAGGAAAGGATGAAAATGAGAGTTGTGAGAGAGCACACAGAGAAACTGAATGTCACAAATGCAATCTTTACTCATGCATTTAATGATTTCAGTAAAAACATTTGACTCAATAGCGATACTCACTATTCTTTGTATAGAGCAGCACCTCATAGAAATTGGACTCATAGCTGTCAAAGGTTTGTTTGATTTTGTCTATAGTCTTCTTGTCAGTCAGGTCACCATACATGAAACTGTAAAAAAAAAAAAAAGAAGAGCGAAACAAAGCAAGAATCAAAAGGGAGCATGTTGCTATGAGCTTGTCATGGAGACAGAAAGGCAGAGTATTAAAGACAGACAACCACTACTACTCATACTTTTTCAAATATTTCCTTTTAATGAATACTGCAGGTGCTGTGAATTAGTCGCTGCATTTTCATAGCAATAACAAAAGAGTTAAGTCCACGTCTGTTTTGCAAATTGAACCACATGTAAGGCATCTACTGAACCTTCACATTCTGGTCTGATACTACAAAACCCCAGCTTACTTGCACGTGCTGCTCCTGTGCATGACCTCAGCTCTGTGGTAACCAGACAGCTTGCAGAATCCATCGTTGCTGTATACGACTGGCCACTCCATGATCTGAGCATTTCCCAGCAGGAAACTGGTTTCTGCAACAAAACACAGAAAAATACAGCGGTCTGAAAAAAAAACTAGATGCTTCTAACAACACACCTTCACACTGCGGCACCTGTTGATCAAACTTTGTGTTTTTCGTGAGTAAATGTTGGAAATCTGAAGTTATGCAAATGTAACTTCATTGAAACTGGACTGATTTTTATTGTTGGATGATATTTTTGAAAACTGTGTTGTAAATTCCAATGAGAGAATTAAATCTGACATTTTGATGTTTTTTATTTACAGTTCCCCTTAAATCCTGCTGATCAATGCCATTAGAAAACTTCATCATAAAAGTGAATCTGTGCCTGAAATATTCAGTGCAATTATTTAAATCGCTGTAAAGAAAACTCTCCCACTACATTATTTTGATAACCATATACAATGTAAACAAGGGGCAAAGATCATTAATATTTAATGCAACAGAGGTAATCAGATGAGTCAATGGGCAGAAATAATTGTTGATGAAATGTTTATGTTCCACCCTTAATGTTAATTAAATATTAACGACGAGCAGCAAAGTTCTCCAGCTTTACAACAGTTTGCAGTCTCCAGAGAAAAGAGCAAGGACATTTCCTCCAAATAAAAATGTATAGTCACCACGAAAGCTGTCAAACTTAAAGCACTTGCATGTTTATCTTCAAATGAGTGCTTAAGTGATTATTGTCACAGAATCCAAATCTGCTTAAAACACATTATTAATGTAAACAATAACTTTGCAGACTTTCACTCCATGTTGCATGATCTTTCATTACACTGACATGCACTGTGTCTGTATTTGTACTAAAAACCTGCCAATCTCACACGCATTCACTGTCATGAAAATACTATCCAGTTGCCTCCTGTACAGACTGTCAGTCTGCAAAATCAATGTTGCCTGTTTTGCTGAGACAGATTGCCTTAAAAGATATTACAGCAAAAACAATGCACCACTCAGTGGGATGTAGGCACTTACAGAGATAAAAACAAAACAAAAGTGCAACTGAGCCATTAACACAAATCACATTATATCCTACATCCCCTAAATGAAAAATAAAAGGTGCTTCTCTTGAACTCTTCAGCTTTACTTAAATCACCACAACAAACAAAGTCTTCTCAGGCAGGCCAGTAAACCTATTTGTTTCTACAGATATTGATATTGAAGAAAAATTTTGACATGATTTTAGTGATATCATAAAAAGGCTATTATAGCCTACTGATTTTATCTCATTAAACCAGGGAATTTGGACATGAGACTTTTGCATAATTCATCAGTGCACATATTGTGAGTAGCTTTGAAAAAAAAAAAGGATATTACAAGGACGTGTTAGTCGATGCTTCTTCCCATTAATTGACATAAATTACATTATAGGTTTACTTTAGCATCCCAGACCTGGCTGGTACCTTGAGTGACATGCCAAATCAACATCCATTAATTCATGTTTCCTTTTTAGATGAGAACTCACCGCTGGAGCGCCGGACAATATTTTCCAGAAAAGTGTTTTGCGGAGCCACCAGTCCTCTCTTGCCCCCATGCATTATGAGGGTTCAGGACAGAGGCTCGGTGCTGCTCGGTGGTAGTCCTGATGTTAACAACCCCTCAGCTGTGTGCCCGACCGGAGCGTGGACCGCCAGTGTCAAGTCAACCAGAGTTAAAAGACGTATATCCGGGCTGAGGTTTCAAAAAGGAAAACCCCATTGTCGAATGTGGCAGTTTTCTTTTTCATTTTGTTAGACTACACCTAATTAATGAAATTCACCTATCTAATTCATTGGAATTTAAGATAAATGATAATTATTATCCTCACAGTGTCATTTTCACACATTTACAGCCACAGTGGCTTAAACATAAGAAGTCACAGCAACAAGACTTGCCAAATGAGGAGATCAATGTTTGGACATGTCTTACTCCACTATTACTTGATAATGACATCAGTCTCAGTAGTAATAATAATAATAATAATAATAATAATAATAATAATAATAATAATAATAATAATAATAATAATAATAATAATAATGAGGTACTTTTATTTTGAAGGTACGACCCCTCATTTTCCGGTGTTATTCTGGTATTTTTGTTTCTGGCTCCTCAGAGCTAGAATTTCTGTTGAATTTTAATATGAACTTAAATTTTGTTTATTTATATAAAGATTTATTTGCCCGTGATGTAACATGCGGGCCTACAATCTCTGCTCCATTTCACTATCCACAGGTGAATATAATATGCTCATAATGACATGTCGCCAAATGTTTTGAAAGTTAAAAGCACTTTATTGCTTATCTCCATTTGATGCAACTTTATACTTCACTACCTTACTAACTTACCACGACCCACTATTTCTGAGTAAAAATCTGATCACTCATTCTGCAGCAGGACAACAACCCCAAACATACAGCCTGAGTCATAAAGAGCTATCTTGAGAGACAAGAAGAACAGAGCCCTGATCTCAACATCGTGGAGTCAGTCTGGGATTACATAAAGGGACAGAGGACACAGGGACATCCTAAATCCAGATTACTACATCTTGAAAAACTGTGTGCGAGTGTAGGAGTCTAGGAGAATTTGATTCTATTTTAAAGGCAAAGTGTGGTCACACCAAATACTGATTTGATTTAGGTTTAAAAGCCTCATTTTACTGTTAGTGCCTAAAACCTTTCCACATAACTATATCTAATGAAAAAATGATTAGTTGAATCCTCTCAATTCCTGTATCCAGTTTCAAGGTGTATGCATACGTTTGAGGCATTAGTGCTATAAATTCTATCGTGTGTAGTTCATAACATGTCCAGCAGGGGGTGATACTTGGAGGTTGTGGACATTGGTCGACCAATAAGAAGTAGCGGAGGCAGTGAAGAAGAAGCAGGAGCGTAAAAACAGGGCTGTCAATCGTCGGTGGTAGTGCGAATTTGTTTTACCGTGAAGTAATGGTTAACTCTAACGGACTTTGGATGCTGTCGTTCAAAACTTCTACGTCGTTGTACAAAGTCGGTATTTTGAATGCGGTTACCGGGTAGAGGTTAGTTGTAACTACTCTGTGCTACTGTCTAAATCACTGTGTTTTTATTTCGTTCAAGAGGAATGCAACGGCCGCCGAGCTGCACTTCTCCTTAAAGCTCAGTCGATGAACATGAACTCCATCTTTACGCAGACAGCAGAGTCGTGTATTTTAAACTAACTCGTATATAAAGTCATGGCGAACGACTTTGTAAAGTCGTTTGTACAGATGTGCAATTATCTTCAGCAGCCCTGCCATGTAGCGAGGTTTCAAAATTTATGCGGCGTTAGAGGGACATTTCCGGATAAATCGACCAAGCCGGAGAGCGGACAGTCTGAGCCGGACTGTCCCGGGCTGAGGAAGAGGGTCCAAAGCTCAGATGTTAGTGTTGGAAATGGAGCAGCCGTGGATGCCACGGCACCGCAGGTTAACGGGACGCAGGGTGATACTACCGTTAGGCCTGACGGTTCATCATCATCAGCGGCGGCAGCAGCAGCAGATGATGATGATGTCGACTCAGACACGGCCAGAGCAAAACCCCTACGGAAAAACTCCCTGACCGGAGATGTGGGTCAGGAGTTCCTGATCCACAACAAGTTTCTGTTCTACCTGTTCACGTTTGGGACTGAGCTCGGAAACGAGATGTTCTTCATCGTCTTCTTTCCCTTCCTCTTCTGGAACATCGACGCCCTGGTCAGCCGGAGACTCATCGTGGTCTGGGCCTGGAACCTATTCGTGGGCCAGTCCACCAAGGATATGGTCCGCTGGTCCCGGCCGGCCTCCCCACCGGTGGTGAAGGTGGAGGTCTTCTACAACTCCGAGTACAGTATGCCCTCCACGCACGCCATGACCGGGACGGCCATACCTTTCTGTCTCTTCATGCTGACCTATGGGCGGTGGGAGGTAAGCACTGCAGTGAAAAGTTAAAGTGTCAAATGCAGGTGATAGTAAAGTATTGTAGTGCAGGTGCTGCAGGCAGAAGATGTGCAGTCTGTGTCAAAATGTCCTGTTTGAGAGCTAAAGTTGCCAAGGCCAACAGGGGCAAAGGGGTCAGCTGCCCCTGACCCTCAGGGGCATTTTTGGTACCTTGATTAGGTGGAAATTGGTAATGTTTTGAATTCTCTAATATGAATATTCACCTGTTTTGTGATATCAGACTAAATATCTTTGGCTTTTGGACAAAAACAATTTGAATATGTCAACTAGGGCTTTGACAGATTTCACTGTTTTATGACATTTTATGGATCAAACAATGAATCAGTTTACCAAGAAAGCAATTAACAGTTAAAACTGATAATGAAAATAATCTTTCTTTGTGGCCCTAATTCACTTGGCAATGCTCAAGATGAACAATGTCCTCCCAGGAAATTGTTCCACCGAGGTGGAAAGCCGCCCACATCTTGTCTCCTATCGAATTAGTTAGTACACTGACTAAACAATGGCCATGCTTGTAAAATACCTTAAGTAGGAGAACGGGAGTGGGAGGAATTGTGTGTGTGTGTGTGTGTGTGTGTGTTTGTATGTATGTGTGTGTGTGTGGGGGGGGGGGACGACCCCTTCGTCCTATTGTATTATGCCAACTCTGAGGAAATACACAATGTGGAACTGAAAATGTGTTATTACAGAGCACTGGTACCAGGCACAATCTGATATGTCTAAACTCACAATGCTATGCAAGTGTTATTCTTCTTTTTCACATTTTATTAGAATTCGGTGATCTAGCTTTCACCCACAGGATATGAACGTGCTTTGACAAACCCTCAGGGGAGGTGGGCAGACACACCAAGGTCCCAGACATTAAAAGGCCCCAAGAGCCACAATTTCTTTACACGTCCAACATCTGACTTAAAAAAAAGTTTAGTCAGGTAAAATCCAAACAAAAGACCAGAGTTCAGGAAGCACACAGAACATATGACATTTTTCAGCAGGGCCCCTCAGCGCTCAATGAGGGTCAGTGGGTCAGTTTGGCCAGAAGATTGAAAAATCAGAGTCTTAAATCCCTGTTAATCCTTGTAGCCCAGTCTTATATGAAGCACAAGAGCCCAGGCTGAATAATTAAAGATCTTAAATACATATAGGCTATGTTTTAACTGATGCCTGCAGCTGTTGACAACAAACATTCTTCTGTTTAAGCAGACCATTAAGACATGACAGGGTGTGTCAGAAAAGTACAGGTGAGGTGAAAAAGTAGCTTTGTTTTTTTTTTTGTTCAATAAACAAAGACTCACTGTTCCACATTGTCAGCAAGAACAAGAGAATGAACTAGTGTGTGATATTTACAGGAAGAGAAAGTATCAAATAAAGTTTCAGTATTTGCTTTAATGACAGTAGTGCAAATGAACAAAGTAAAACTGACGGATGTGAGAGAACATTGAGAGAATTGTTCCTAGACTAAATATTTGGTTAAGATGGAAGACAGGGTGATGTGGTGGTTACTGTGCTGCAGAAGAGTCAAGATAGAGAAGAGTGCAGTGTGGTATCACCTAGGTCAGAGCTCAAAGCAACAAAACTTGTTCTACTGATATGGCATGTAGCAGTTGGATTTTCCACCACCACAAAGAGATAAATTCAGTAGATCAGCAATCTATACTTAACTGTATGGCAATGGGCAGAGACAGACAAAAAGGATGTAACAGAGAGAGAGAGAGGGCAGGGGTTGTCGGGGAAAGAGACAGACCAAGGGGTCACCACCAGGGAGGAAGAGCTGAGCACCACAAATGGTTTTTATGTTGTTGTACCCGTGCGAGGGCTTTGAACTGAACACAGGCAGCTGAACCGTCTGAACTGCCTGAACTCGCTCGGTGTCATCAGGTTCCCTCCAGTGTCGTGACCTTCAAGGCCGAGAAACCGAAACATTTAAAAGACAGAGGGTTACAGAAGGTTACAGAAGATAAGATGCAGACTATTAACAGCCACCGGGGCAGGAGGACAATTCAAAGAGTTCACTAAATGGTGTTTGAAGACACTATGCTAATGCAGTGACCTTTGCCTGGATACTTTCAGAGAACGATATCAGGGAAATTTCTACAAAATGGACTACGCACTGTGGTTTTTTTTAAAAGCTAATATTTCCATTGGCAATCAACTGTCAACGTTGACAGTAGCTTAAGTGTTAAGTTTGTAATTCCCTGCAAGGGGCAATGCTACTGTAGTTTCTGTATATTCCAGTCATGGTCAACAGGATTTTAGGGGACAAAAAAAAACATTCTTGTAAAATGGGTCAATGAGCCCTGTGAATAAGTGCTTCCTTCCAGGAAACTATGGTCTAGGTTTTTGTATCTTTCAAAGCCTCATCTTCAGACACCTTTTTGTAATATCTGTGTTAATTCTTTAATGCCATGTCTTTATGCTCTCTCCCACAGTACCCCTTCCTCTTTGGCTTTTGTGTGGCTCTCGGCTGGAGTGTCCTGGTCTGTGTGAGCAGAGTCTACATGGGGATGCATTCTATTCTGGTAAGCATATTAAATAAATGATATCAATCAAACAATCCCTCACTGAAATACAAATTAAATTGAAAGGTATACAGTATGCTGTCCTGCTGCCCTACATGCACACTTGGTGTCATTGATCCTATATGATGCAACATGATACACACCATGGATGATTGTAAATGCTGGCATGACTCCAGTATAACTTCTGATGCAGTGATTATGATGGTGCAGTCTTTCATGGAGAATATCTTCAACCACCAATCCTAGCACCAGGCTTATCTATCTGTTCAACTCATCTGTGCATATTTGAAATTTCTGTGGTTGGACAGATGCTTGTGAGAGGAGCTGTCAGACCAGTTGTTGAAAACAGGATTCTGTAAGGACACAAAACATATTGTCAGTCAATAGTTTAAGGCATGAGAAGAAAAAGATTATATAGTTTTGTTATCTGCACACTAACATGCAATTTCTCTTTTTTTTAATAAAACCATCTCTCAGTCAGTAGTTAGAAGGTCTTTCAAGCCAGCGACTGATGAAGAAATTAACTTTAGCATTAAAAGAAAACTCAAAGACCATCATTCATGGTCATTCATAGACCTCTGCAAAATCATCCCATGGAGGATTCCTCAACACAAGAACTTGTTTTGAAGTACAAACTAATAACGCAAGTATAAAATAAACAAACTAAACTGCAAAGCTCAGTGGCTTTTTAAAATTTGTGTATTTATATCCTTTTTTTGTACATATTTTAAAATAAAAACATTACATGAATGTGCATAGCATACACTAATGACCCCATTATTCGTTTTGATTACATACACAGAAATTTATGATGATGATGATGATGATGGAAAATTGTGAGTCAATTAACACATTAAAGCCAAAAGATAAGGTTAGATTAGATTCTGTGGCCAGGCAACTGATGTTAGGAGTTATTGTTTATGTTGTTCTCCGACAGTAACACCTGTTTATCAGTCAGCAGGTCATCGGCTTTTAGAGTTTTTTTTTATGACCAATGTGAAATGCCAAGGTGAAGAGTGTTGTATAGCGTCACCTACAGGGTGGAAACAGCAATGTTTTTCTTTTTGTTCATTTGATGATGCAGAAACTGAACCTCAGACCGAATGATCATGTCAGAATACATTTTGTTTTGAACTTGAAGTATGCAGTGAGACACTTCATGAATCGTAAACATGCTTTGTAAGACTGTTGGTATATCAAACATATGAAAATAGTTGATGCTGAGTTTACAATAACTTGTGCCGTACTTCTGTTACAGGAGGTAATCACCGGTTTCCTGTACAGCCTTCTCATTCTAGCCTTCTTCCAGCCACTTTTGGACAAGATCGACACCTTCTACATGATGGACCACTATGCTCCGCTTATGATTATCTTCTCACACGTGAGCCTCGGACTCGTAGCTTTCTCCCTGGATTCCTGGAGCACCTCTCGGGGCGATACAGCTCAGGCCTTGGGCACCGGGGCAGGAGCTGCTTTGGCTACCCACGTGAACTATCAGCTGGGGCTGCTGCTGGATCCGCCGCTGTCTTCACTTCCTCTAACTTTACCATCAATCAGCATTGGCTTGGTGGTTCGCTCCCTGCTGCGCTTCCTCATCGGAGTTGCCGCCCTCCTCGTCACGAGAATGGTTATGAAAGCAGTGACTATTCCCTTCTTATGTCGACTGTTTGGGCTGCCCTCAGATGATGTAAGACGAGCGAGGCAGCACATGAAAGTAGAGTTGCCATACCGTTACATCGTCTACAGTGTTGTGGGTTTTAGTTGCGTCTCTGTGGTGCCCCTCCTCTTTAGGATCTTAAACCTTGCCTGAGTGTTGTGTTCAAACGGTCAGTGTACTGCTGACATGTTCACCTACACAGTGAAGGCAAACAGCACTTAGTTACATGCAGATAAATGCATGACAGAAATTAAAGATTTAAAGGATTGATCTTATTGTATTCTATATTTTTCTTTTTTATTATTGTCAACAGATTCCAGACCCAAATCAACAATGAATGTATCCTACTAACAAGTATTGTCTATGTAGCCAAAGCCTGACATTCCACTGTGCCACAGAGCTCCATTGTGATCCTAAAGCTATTAAGATACATCAGCGAGCCACACAGCTGCACTGGGTGACATGTTTATTTATTACAATGAAAATAACCACTCTAGTTTTTGATTCAATCCCACATGTGCTGTTGTAAATACATCAAAAATGTATTAATCCATGACTCAAAACAGTTCCTAACAAATGAGCTATTTATTCAAGTTTGAGTGTCACCGGCTAAAAACTGCAGCGCCTCACTGTTTTAGGAAAATTACTTTGTCTTTTTTTAAAATTAAAGTCTATATTTGTGACCCATTTTTAAAGATTTACATCTGCATTAGGAACCAGTGAGTTTGAGGCTGGGAGCCACAAACTGGGGGAAGTCAGAAAGTGTCGAGAGACCGACTAACACATTGTTGGTTTTGGCCTTTTCATGGGATTTGTTGTCAGACTCAAAAATATAGAATATCATCTGCCTCATCCTTTAAGATCCTCCTGTGGTCGACACATTTGAGTGTTAACTGGAACTTTGCAAATACAAAATCTCCCAGCTGTACTGTTATGATGCTTGTATTCATTAATAAGGAGGATCAGTTGTACATTTCCATCATTTGATTGAAATATAAAATATTATGTTATTGGTGAATTACATACGCTAAGAATAAACTAAACCATGAATCAGTGTGAAGTCACTTCACTTCTCATTTATTGCCATATTCAAATGCAAAACAACCTGGAGGCAATGAAATACTGTAAGTATTAAAGCTCACAGGTGTCAGGGTAATTGGCGATCTCTATAAAAAATCTGGAGGAGTTTTTCTCATTGTGCAGGCTTGTTGTGTTATTACTGTTTTCTACATTACCATAGTCAGCATTATCTTGTCGCCTTCTTTTTGTACATTTCTTGTGCCACATTTGTAATTTTGGCACAAATGTAAACCAAGTTGTCTCTTGATTAATCATTTAAAAGTATAGAACTAAGAAAAGCAAATATTTTTGATAAATTATTTTACCAGTTTAACTATCTTGACCTGAAATGTTGCTCTAGAGAGAAAAAATCTAAATCTATTACTATGAATTACAGACATTTCAGGTGTCCTTATACTACAGTATATAAAACACTGACTCTAGGACTTGTCTAAATGTTGTAATTGATGTTTTTACCAGTTGTTATGTTGTAATAATGATTTGCTCTAATGTTCATGCCAGAATATGAATCCCAGAGCTCTCACATCACAAGTACGGATGGAATATTTATAGATCTAATATTACCATCAACTCTCATCTTTTTTTCTGTTATGCAAAGAGTGTATCTGAAAAATATGGAACAGGAAAAATAAAATAATCCAAAAAAAAAAGAAAAGAAAAAAAAAACATTTTGAATGCATGTTATTTTCGGAATTACTCTGGTTTTATTTTTCTTGTAAAGGAGTGTCAGAGGAGGTCCAATCAATGCATCTGTAATTTAAGACAAGTGTATGTTCTGCTTTTGAATACTATGACCTTCCTCTGTCAGATATGAATTATGTAATTTCAGTTCAATCAATCTCAGACAACTGATCAAGGAAATCTGAGAATTTCAGCAATAGCTTGTCTGCTTGCTGTCGGTTCTGATAGATTTTTTGACAGCTCAAAACACAAAAGGTCAGTGGTTAGGGAAGGCATGCAGTGTAGGCAAGGGTCATTTTTAAGTCCCTATTCCCAAATACCACAGTGGAGTCACACTCAACCTTTGAGCATCATAGATAAGGTGTCTCTGCTGTTCTGATAAATTGAACTTTGCTTGATGGTCTATTTTTGATGTAGCGGGCTTCTCCCAAGTACCCACAATCATTAATAGATCCCTTTAAAGGCTAAATTGAATTCAGTCAAATTACTATATATATTTTTTTATATTCAGTTAGTGCAGTTCGAACGAAATTGTTTTATTTTGAAAAATCGGAGTACACTGAACCGGAAGTCCGGGTTTTACTTCTTACTTCCAAAACAATCCCCTCTACCTCACTTTACAGTGGAGACGTAAGGTAGTTAGTCAGGTAGTTAGCACCCAGTTAGACAGTGCTATAGTTAACACGTTAGGCAACATTTAAGACAATTAATGAAGCCGTGAGATTAATGAAGAAGGTGGTTATTTTAGATAATTTTGTAGACATTTGCTCGTTACTTCCCTCGCTAACCATTGTCAACTGTTTACCCGCTGTTGATACTCGGGCTGCCTCACACATTGGACTGAAGTTAGCTTGACTAGCTGGTTAACAGTAACATCAAATCGGAAAAACGTATGTGAAGTTTTACCTGGGAAGAATATCGGTCCTCTGCCGGGAGAGCAAATGCCTCGTCTGGAAAAGTCAAATGGCAGAGGGACAAAAAGGTAAGGCTGAAGCTACACCTGCAGGGAAACTAGTGGAGGAGATAAAGTCTCTGTGATTACTAACAACTAAAGCAGCAAGGTTTTCTGTTGTTCGTCTTTTAATCTAAATATTTGTTTTTAGAGATTTTATCATATAAATAATGTTCACTCATTAGTCACCGCTTCAGTGATTGTCTATTCCAGACAAAAGTTTAAAAGATCCAGAAATCAAAATATGCAGATACACCATATAGCACAACAGTAAACTGGCAGGTCAGTCATTGTGCTTTTCGACAAGCATTTTATATGTTGGTGTAAGTGACTGATGCAAAGAAATGCAAGAATTTCCTCATATCAAAGTTCAGAAGTTTAAAAAAAAAAAAAAAAAGTCTAATTCACCTTAATGTGTCTCTCTCTCTCTGTGCACGACTTCAGACCAAAATTGGACTGGAAGTTTGTTCAGAGGTTCTGCAGCATCCAGAAGGTCCTGTTCCCATCATGGAGCAGCCAGAGTGTCCTGATGTTTGGGACGCTGCTTTTTGTCACTCTGACAGGTAACTGCTGGAGTTACCTGTATGGCAGTATGGCAGCCCATGGGGGAAAATAAATAGTTCATGCTATCTATCAAATTAATGTGAATAAAGGAAGTAATGACGACACTAATTGTCATGAGACACATTCCCTGCCTGTTGGATAATATGTTTTGTGAGCTTGTAATGCTACACATCTGTGAACAGCAGGCTGCATGTTATGTTTTTTCCCACTGACCTTTAGTTAAAAGTGTTGTATAATTTTCCTGCGTTGTTTTTACGAGTCTCTGTGTGAATTCTCTCTGAACAATGCGCTAACACATCTTTCTTTTCTGCCATCAGAGCAGCTGATCATTTACCAAGTGGGTGTCCTCCCCAGTCACTTCTACAATGTGCTGGCAGAAAAAGATTACTCAGGCTTCAGGAGTCTGGTGGGAAAAGCTATGGTGCTCATTTTAATCAACTCCACAGTAAGTTAATGTAGCTGGGAGGGTTGGCAGAAGTTAACCTATCTACTGACCAGACACAAATACAGTACAATATTAAGAAAGTTGACTTGTTCATTAATAAGCAGAGCCACAGCAATACTCTTACTCCTAATGAGGCAATTAATTGTTTGTATGTGATTAATCCAAATCCAATGTTCCCCATGTACTGAAACGAAATCAAAAATAAGGTACACTATTCCCTGTATCATATTAGTTTTCACTGAATTGCCGTCATAAAGCACAGTAGCACCTTTATCAGGTTAGGACAGCCTGACATCTTCATTTTATGGCCTGAATCCTCTTGATCTTGGTCATGTTTACTTGGATTTTAAACCTGACAAACACAATGAGTTTCCTCTAAGGAAACAAATATTCTACATACTGTTTATTTTGCCACATTGCTTTTTAAATGAACAGCTGTAGCAGGCCTCAACAAGTTCTTGTTAGTCTCATAGAAACTCTTACATTTACTGTGTATTGTGTATGCATTGATTATTTTTCTCTCTGATAGACATTTTCTTCTTCCTCCCTCTCTGTGTTCCTCTCTTTCTCTCTCCCAGCTGAAAAGTCTTGACCAGTACATTTGCAATCAGATGTATGTTAGCTGGCGGAAGACGCTAACCGAGAGCCTCCACACGGCCTACTTCCAGGGCCGAGTCTATTACACACTCAATGTACTCAGAGAGGACATAGACAATCCGTAAGTAAAATGTATCATTTGAAAGGTTTTATGTATTAGATCATGTGGATATTTGAATATGTTGTGTGATTCTGCAGTGGAAAACAATATAAAGGTGGTTAATCCTGGTGATTGTTTTTCTCATCATGTTTGTTTCGTTTGTATTCCAGAGACCAGCGGATCAGTCAGGATGCAGAGAGGTTGTGTAAGCAGATGAGCACCATGGCTAGTCGCTTGATCGTCTCGCCGTTCACACTGGCTTACTACACCTACCACTGCTTTTACAGGTGGGTTTGTAGTAGAGTACTGTGGCAACACGTGCCTCCATATACGAGCATTTAACACCTACTCTGAAGTTGAAAAAGCGTCATGAGAAACATAGACGGTGTTCTGTTAAGATGAGAATTGTGTTATTATAGTAACATTTTCAACATTTGAAAATACTGAGAGGAAACTCAGAAAGCTGTCAAAAGCAGAGCATGCATTTTTATATGTAATTATTTTTGATTTGTATCCAAACCGGTGCTTTTTATGTGTTTACAAAGAGATGAGAGGTGGTCACTTGTCCTCAGTGAATCTATCAGTGTCTCTGAAAGTCAACAGTCAAGAAAAACTGGGAAAGGGAAAGAGAGAGACAATTCCTATGTGTCTGTTTTCTCTACTGTTTAAATACTGGCAATAAAAGTTGGCCATAGCCTTTTTGTTAAATTTGGGGTTCTTTATTTTCTGACACTACAACTTTTATTTCTTTGTTTCATCTGTCTAATTTAGTATAATTGTATTCAGTTGTAATTTATTTTCCCCTGATTGTCTTTTAACATTGTTTTAATACCCAGTGTAAATCACTTTGTGCCTTTTTGGAAGGTGCTGTAGAAATAAAGTTGCCTTGTTTTGCAGCACCGGCTGGATCGGCCCTGTGAGTATCTTTGGGTACTTTGTGGTTGGAACCATTGCCAATAAAATCCTCATGGGGCCGATTGTGTCGACTCTGTTTGAGCAAGAAAAGCTGGAGGGTGACTTCAGGTAAAGTTAAGTATACTGTATGTTTGCTGTTTGTCAAGTGACAGAAATGCACAAGTGTCTGAGTCAAGAGGAATTTGTTCTGATAGACGAGCAACGCAGGGCTGAGTTAAATGGCCAGTCAACATGTGTTTTCTTTAACCTTTAACAGAGCAGTTTGTTGTTTTATGGGTTTTATTTGAATGTAACTATTTCCAGTATTTATTGTTAAGGAAACCAGTCCCTTGTCAAGAGGAAGTATCTGTAGACTTTGGCCCAGTGCCTTTTGCCTCTTAGGAAATAACAGGATATGCGTCAGCTTGCAATGTAGTGTTTTCCTGTGGAGGCTTTGTAATTTTATCTGTCACATGTTGAAACGTGATTTTGTGTTGACAGTGAAAACTCATTTTTACAGAAATGTAATGATTTTGTATCTCCAGATTCAAGCACATGCAAATCCGTGTTAATGCAGAGTCTGCAGCTTTTTACAGGTGAGGTGATTTATTTGACATGATTGTGCTGCACAGAAGGATAGAGACAATGCTGGAAAGTTTAGACAATCATGTGCAACTTAAACAGGAAGTCTGCTTTCTTGTGATTAAAAAAAAATTCTCTAGGTCTGTCTGAATTCTCCTGACACATCAGATCCCACAGATTATGTGGTTAAAGCAGTTTGGAACAAATGCTGCTCTCTGGGTTTTTAGAGCTGGTAAAGTGGAGCACACGAGGACCAATCGAAGACTGCAGGCTCTGTTAGAAACTCAGAAGAGTCTAATAAATAAAGAACTCTGGCTTTATAGTAAGACCATCCTACACACACCCACTCACTCATATCTATCATATTGTTTAAACTTGTAGAGTTAACCTCTGACCTCTTCACTATCAGTCGGGGTGAACACCTTTGACTACCTCGGAGGTTTCCTCAGCTACATTATTATCGCCATTCCCATCTTCACTGGTATCTATGATGGTCTCACTCCTGGCGAGCTTAGTGCACTCATCAGTAAGGTAGGCTTTCTTCCTGTTCCCTTTGTCTTAGAAATAGTAGATGCTGAAAAATGCAAGACCTTGTTTGGTTTAGTTTGGTTTATTGACAGCAGGGATAGACTGATGGCCACACGGAAAGACTCGAGCAGCAAAACGATTCTGACTGATCTATAAAAATATCTATTGCTTTTTATTTGTCACTTTATTGTAAACTATTTTGTCCCTGTCAAGGTCCTGTGGGAATGATGACTCAGTTTTTCCAATGATCTAATTGGTCAGTATTTGGGCTGTTGACTAGTTTTGATCTGATCCTCTGAAGTTAGCCTAAGTTACCATGGTGATTTACCCTGCTAAGAAGTGAACCACTGTCGTAACCCTGAAAAATCCAGGGTAAAACCTCAAGTTACCTCACTGACCTCAAATCCTGCTTCATAGTACAGGCCTCTGGAATTATTTGCACTGTTGTCTCAGGTATTTACACAGGCCAACAATATTTGTCAAGATAAAGATGGACATTCAATGTCTGACATGAAGAAATTTTAGAAAATAGGAACTAAAAAATAGGAAATTGAATCATGTGATCAATGATTAAATGTTTTCAGGAAGCTAACAATGTAAAAAGTATCAGACACACCTAAAAATAAATAATAGTTACAATGATTACTCCTTGATTTACATAAAGATCATGGAAGTGTGAGTGTTGCTCACAGTCCCAGTTTCCATTACAGAACAGCACCTACTGAATGTTGCTGATTCAACCACTAGGTGGCAGCAAAGCCTTTCTCTCCTGATAGATCCATTAAACTCCATTCATCTTGCGTTCAAATTGCCTGTTGTTGGACAGAGATGTCACTTTCATATGTCTTAAGAAGCATTATAGTAGCTTTATAATGGTCATAATTACTCATAGATTAGTATATTTAAGTCTTCATCATCAGTCAGTATTCCTCTTTTCTTAAATTCCTCCAGTCTACTTTGTGCCTTGCTGCCTTTTGTCTGTGTCCAGACACTTTTTAAAATAATCTTTTATCTTATTCACTCTCTGCTCTGGTTCTCCCTCTCCTTGTTAACATTCAGAACGCCTTTGTGTGCATCTACTTGATAAATGGCTTCACGCAGCTTATAGACCTGTCAACCACTCTGTCAGATGTGGCTGGATACACCCACAGGTATCACACAGCATACTTAAATTCAACTCCTGGAGGACAGATGATGACAGCAGTGTTGGTGCATGCCATCCACCTTTTCTTTCTATCACTGAATCTGTGTGTGTGCTGTGGTCAGGATTGGGGAGATGAGGGAGGTGATGGATGACATCCTACGCAAGCAGTGTGACTATGACCCTGCGTCAGGAGAAAGCTACGACTTTGACAGGTTTGTGTGAAAGCTTTTACAATAATCTCTGCTGCAGAAAAAAGCGATGCGAAGTGATTTAACATTTTAGCATATTGATAATATTAGATGTAATTAAAAAAACAAAGAGCAAACAAGAGGACAAAAATGAATATAAAGTGCCTATGTAAATTAATTTAATCTCTTTCCACACAGTGACTTCAATGTCCACGCAGGCCCAGTGGACACTGCCTTCATCCTCGACCATCTTTCATACAAATCTCCTTACTCAGACGAGCTGCTGGTGGAGGACCTAAGTCTGAAAATCAGTCAGGGAGCTCATCTACTGGTGGTGGGAAACACAGGGACGGGCAAAACGTCACTGCTGAGGGTCCTCAACCGCCTCTGGGAGGCACACAGTGGTGAGATAATAGGGACAGAAAGATGAAGTTTGATTCATTTTAATCTGTTTTAATGCTAGTGCACATATGACAGAAGAGTTTTAATGAAAAGGAATGGTCACTCCTGACTCGCTTCGGCTGTAATAATAAACCCCTCACTGGAATATCTGTATGAAACAATAGAAAAGGATGGAAGGATATGCATGGCCAACATTAAGGCCTTGTAACAGTTTTTGTTAAAGGTGCACATTAACATGTTTTTGATCACTTGAAGCTGACAAAAACAGGTGATTGAAGTAGAGCTGCAATGGTTAGTTGACTTATCAGTGAGTAGATTTACAGAAAATCAACTATTTTGATTATTGATTTATCATTTAAGTTGTTTTTCAAGCAGAAATTCTAATCCTTCTCTGGTTGCACCTACAACAGTAGGAGGATTTGCTGCTTTTCTGTTTTTGATCATTGTAAACTGAATATCTTTGGGTTTGGGGCTGTTGGTCGGGCAAAAGAAGATATTTGACGACGTCACCTTGGATTCAGAAAAATTAGAATTTGTCACAGTTTTCTGATTTGTGGACTAAGCAGTTATTTGATTAAGCAAAAAAATAATCTGATTAATTGGTAATGATAATAATCATTAGTAACAGACCTAGATTGATCCATTGTTCATGTATACTTGAACCAGGGCCTTATTTTCCCAACAAACCGACTGTGGCAGCAGTAGGAATCATATCTATAATGTTGTGAGACACTTATACTAACAATCGGAACCTATCAGTGGCAAAAAAAAGCACTTTTATTGGACTCATTTACACCCAAAAACATTGGATATTAAGGCCCAGGTTAAAAAACCCCGGAGTTGTGCTTCAGTTTTTTTGTTTCTATAAGTCGCACAGAGAATGGCAGGATGTATTACTGTTGTTTTGTTATTCATACTTTTTACAATAAGACCACAGGAAAAAAAATGCAAATATTGCACAAAAGTGAAATGATTGAAAAAGATATATTCTGTGACATCTGCAGAGATGAGTAGCTTCATGACACTGTCTGTCTGTCAATTTTGTTTTTCTCTTCCTCAGGTTTTGTCCACATGACGACATGTTTCGGGCCCAGAGGAACCCTCTTCCTGCCGCAGAAACCTTACCTGACCGATGGCACGCTGCGCGAACAGGTCACCGCTTCTTCCTGAATGTCATTTGCTTTCAAAATCTGTGTAGACGCTGAGCTTTTTATAAAATGCTGACATCTACAGAAATCAAACTACCAGTTAAATGAGGATTTACTGGAACTGTGTCTCCAACAGGTGATCTACCCACTGAAGGATATTTACCCTGTATCAGGTATCCGATTTCACTGTGACTGAATATTTAACTGTTTAACAGTTAAAGGCTAAAAATGTTAATTCATTTAATCAAAATGTGTTGTTCTGGTAGAATACATAACTGGGAAGTTTGCGTATGATCATATAAGTGGATGAATGAATATAGAGCAATATTTCTAATTAATATAAACCTGGTTTTGGTCTTGGTTTTGTGTCAGTGCTGCCTCATAAAATGACTGAAATAGTTGCTAATCTGAGTGAGTTTCTTTCTTCAGGGTCAGTGGATGATGACAGAATTATACAGTTCCTGGAACTAGCTGGAGTGGTGAGTGTTCTGCTTTTTAAATAAAATCTTTCATGTGTTTTACCGCACTGTTTATTCATCTTGAAGTTTCTTTATCTGTTGTCCAGTCCAGTCTCTTGAAGCGGACAGGTGGGCTGGATGAAAATGTGGACTGGAACTGGTAAGAGCAACAACAGGAACAGCAAGGTGCAACGATAGCTGTTTGCATTGTGTGTTACTGTGCAGAGTTAAAATTCAGTTTTTCCCTGCAGGTATGACGTTCTGTCTCCAGGTGAAATGCAGCGTCTCTGCTTTGCTCGGCTTTTCTACCTGCAGCCCAAATATGCAGGTGTGTTTTAAAAGCTGTTTCATTCTGTGATTCTGACGCAGCAGCCCGACCCACTGTTTAATTGAACAACTAGTTTAATTTTTGTTTTTTCATTTTCATTTTTGTTTATTTTTTCTTCGCAGTGTTGGATGAGGCCACCAGTGCTTTGACAGAGGAGGCGGAGGCACAACTGTACCGGACCTGTAAACAGCTTGGCATGACTTTGATCAGTCTGGGACACCGTAGCAGCCTGGAGAAGGTAGACTGAACACACATACAGTGCACATCCCTGACCAGGTGTCTCAGAGCCAAATTGAGATTTTAAAGATATTTTTGCTAGTAATCCTTGGTATATCCAAATTCTGCTAAATGCCAAGAAATCCCTTAATTGAATAGATCCTATATCCACAAGGGCGATTGCTTTACCAGTTCCTCTGAATCGTCTGAACTTGTGCTTTTTTTAATCTTTCGATGCAGTGTCTATATCTCCATTTCCCTCTAGTTTAACACCTACTTCCACTTGCTTTATCATCAAATCTGTTTTTTATTTTATATATTAATTCCGTTTGTCTTTGTTTCATTTTTCCGACAGTACCATGATGTTCAGCTGAAGCTGTGTGGAGGCGGCCGATGGGAGTTAACAAATTTAAAAGGAGGCAGCGGCAGCCTCAATCACAGAGATGAAACCATGTGACCTCAGTCTCATATTTCCGAAATCCCGGACATGTAGGAAGCACTAGTGTGGGGGGCGAGAACAGAAAACACTCCTGAACTCCTCAGTTACTAACAGGTGCTCTTCAATAAGGTACATAGACACATTTTTCCAGACAGGATGATGGTTTAGAGGCTCTGGGTCTGGAACCAGCCAAAATGTTTTGGACCCGAATGGTTTGGATTATTATGTAATAGTCAGCATGATTTAAATATAATGAAAGAAACAGTAAACTTTATACTTGTTGTTTGTCTTTATGTTAAATTACAGTGGTTTATTGTGTTATGTTCACAGTTAATACATGGGAATATTATTACTACTGTGTAATTCAGTTTTGTATTAAAAACACACAATGTTTTTATGCTTTTAGTAATTCCTACCAAGAGCAGATCCATCTGTGGACAATACATACAGTTTAAACACTTGTTTACCTGATTTGATACAATTTTCTTATGTGCAATAAAAACAAATAAAAATATTTGGCCTTTAAAGTCATTGTTTATACACAGACACAAGTCTGTTTAAGTGCGATAAGAATGTTTTCAGCAAACACATCATTGCTGCTGCTGTTTGCTTAAGAGGTCGCGGTGACCTTGGATGATCTCCTGAACTGTTGCAGGGTCATCCAGCGTGCTGAGGTCACCCAACCCGTTCAATTCGCGTTCCACCACCTTCCGCAGCACCCGGCGCATTATCTTACCTGAGCGTGTCTTTGGCAGACGCTGGACAAACTGTGACAAAGACCAAAAAATGACCGAAGTTACTAAGTACAAGTTAGTCTTAAATGTCTGTTTGCAGTTTAAAGTCAGAATTACCTGGATGCAGTCTGGACAGGCGTACTTGGCGATCTTTTTAGAAACCATGACGGTTAGCTGCCTGGACACGTCCGCCTCTTCCACCTCTACGCTCTTTTTTAGCACCACAAAAGCATAAACGCCTGACAAAGCACAGAGACAGAGAACCCCGCTTTCAAATTCTTATTCATCCCGGTGAACAGTGTAATGTGGGGAAAAAAATGTGTTGCTTACCTTGTCCTTTAATGTTATGTGAGTATCCTATGACAGCAGATTCAGCCACTGCAGAACATTGATTCTGGTACAGAAATGACAGGATCATGATTGCGTGCACGTTTCATGGTTTCAAGTTTTAGATGAAAGAATGGCTCAACAGTATAAATGTGTCTTTGGTTAAACATTGAAGGAAATTAACTAAATTGCACTTTTACTGAAACTGAAATTACTTTAACCCTGTTCAAACTATGGACATATTTAGTCACTTTGAGATTTTTTTTTTCTATTTTTTTTTTTTTTTACCACTTACCACCACATCCTCTATCTCTGCCGTGCCAATCCTGTGACCGCTCACATTGATGACATCATCAAGGCGCCCAGTGATCTGGTAATACCCCTCCTTTGATCGATAGGCCCCATCACCGGTAAAGAAATAACCTAACAAAGGCATTTTAGAGATTTTAGATGTTAACTTACAATAAGAAATGAAAAGTCCAGCAAAGAAGAGAAATATAGAAACACCATAACGACAGTGACAGGTTGTTCATGAACGCATCATACTGTACCAGGATACGGCTGACAGTAGGTCTCAGTGAATCTCTGGTGGTTGTTATGAATTGTTCGGGCCATGCCGGGCCAAGGCTGAGCTATACACAGAGCTCCAGATGTGTTGTTGGAAGTCACAACTTCGCCCTGAAGAAACCCAGGAGTGATAAATGTTAAGTAGAAAGTGGATGATGTGCAAGACAAGAGAAATGGACAACCAAACAAGGGCTGGTTACATAACTGATATAATTACTGCAAGTAAGAAAGAACTCTTGAAAGAATGTGTTATTGATATTTTAGGAAGTGTACTAATGCTATTGGGACCCTGTGCTCTCTGAATGCTGTGTGGGTGATTGTATGTGTTTGTGTGTTGAGAGGGAGGATGATAGATCAGCTCAGAGTCACCACTCCCAACTGTCTGCACAATCTGCGCATTTCAGAAACAAGAGCAACTGCAATAGGCACAAAGTAGTTTGACAGATTTTTAATAGGGGGTTTGGCATGCACAGAATGGGACTTATGGGTGGGAGCAGGGTGGGTATCAAAAGTGACACAGCTGGTGACTATTTTATAATCCTAATCTGACCCTCTCCTCTGGGCTGTTCCCAGCCATCCAGCATTTGCAGGGTGGCATGCTACACACACACACACACACACACACACACACACTCACACGTAGGGATGAGCATCATACCTCAGTGTCCATGAGTACTGGCTTGATGCCAAAGAAAGGTCTCATAGCCATTCCTGGGACAATCTCTGCGTCTGGGTCTGATGGCCTCGGGGCGATGCAGATGCCACCTGTCTCTGGGAACAGAGGAAAAATACAACAGATTATATAAAGTGCTGTATATACAGCGTGCATAAAACAAACAAAAAAAATACTTTTTAAAAGGCTACTGTTAAACAGAAAATATCTGTTTGTAAAAGACTGAGGATGACTGAACCTCCTCAGACCAAAATTTTTTTTTTTATAGAGCAATGCTCAATACAAAAGCTTTTTTCAAATTTTGCCCTAGGTTAAGATGTGCCAGGAAACAAGAAGACAAAGAGGAGGAATAACATAAAAACAAAGGTCCTAGACAGAAACGAACCAGGGATGTACAGTAGGCTACTGTCTATGTCTGAACCACCAGGCCACCAGGACAACAACTACTGTGTCCAGGATTTTAGAAATACTGAAGTCGCAAGTCCGAACCTCCCGGTGCGACTCAGCCTGTAAAATACTTACCATGTGTTTGTTTTTAATTGTCGTGTCCCCGCAAGTTACTAAAACCCCGAAGTTGACAGAAAAATAATGTGACACTCAGTGGGACTCAGAAATACAGTTGTTGAGTAACCTGAACCGAACAAAGTAGTTTTCAGACTAGAACACATTTTTTGTTCAGAGCACTGAAGAAGAACAGATTGGGGGGAAAAAGTGAAATGACAAATTAAAGGGACAGAGAGGGGAGTAGTACAAGGTAGATGACAGAGCCAACTAACAGTTTGTAAATCTAAGATAAGCCCTTCTCACTGCTGCAGATTTAGATTGTGGAATTACAGCCATACTAAGTACATTAAATGCAATTAGGTTTGTCCGAGCCTCAGGGACTCTGATAAATCTGCCTGGTGGTGTTGGTGGCAGCAGAGGGGACCCGTTATAAAGTAGGACACAACAGATGATCCCACAATAGCACTAACAACACCCCCCACAAGAGCCTCCAGGGACCTTTACTACTTTAACATTTGGGAAATAAAGTTGTAGAGTTAGAGGTTAGAATATTGGTAACGCACTCACATCTGTCCATTTTATATGAAGTTACAGCCAGCAGCTGGGTAGCTTAGCTTAGTATGAAGACATGCTAATTTTATTACCTTAGGACAGGGCCAGGGTAGCTCTTTCCCCCTGTTTCCAGTCTTTATGCTAAGCTAAGCTAAGCTAACCAGCTTCTAGTTGTTGCCATGTAATAGGAGAACAGTGAATCTTTGCATAATTCTCAGTCAGAAAGAAAAATAGATTTACAGTAGTTTCCAAAACATCAAACTATGCCTCTCAATAAATGCTCAGAAGTAAGAATTTAAACATGTAGATACTAAAATATATTTTAATTTTTTTTTGCTCATCCTCTCACCTCACCAGTCCTGTGTGATCCAACATGGAGGCCGTATGCCAACAGCAGATCAAAATCTAATTTTCTCTCTAAACAGGCTACTTGCTCCCAGATCAACCAAATGGCATTTATGAATAATGCCACTTAGTCCTAATTGGAAACAGTGGTCCAGGAAAATAACATAAAAACATAATCCTTTTTTTACCGAGGTAGAGTATTTGGGTCATATCTGTGACTGTAATTCTCAAGCTCATCATGCTCTGATGTTTAATTATCGTCAATTAATTATAGATTTTTGCCATTTGTATGGTAATTAACGCAGCTTTGCTCCATTTGGTCATTACTCAATCTAATTTAGAGAGACTCAGGATGAAACACAGTGTCAGTCGGCTCCTGTGTTCATCTGTGAAATTGATTTTATTAGCGAAATCAGCTGATTTCAAACATGTTGTTGTTATGTCCAGTCATAAGCGGCTTTGGTAAAGGAATAGTGGTTATTTTGTGGTGACTTCAGAGGACAGCAGAGGGTGAAGGACAATTTTGTATCAAACCCACTGCAATTACTGTAATTTACTGCAGTTTAGTCAAGTTTACACTATATTGTTTCTTTTTCCCACTGGTATCTTGTTATGTAACCATAATTGAGGACAAAAATTATCAAGATGACTCTAAAAATAGAGTCAGTTTCTCTTTCTCTTTCTCTTTCTCTTTCTCTTTCTCTTTCTCTGTGAGGACAATTTGCAGAACAAGTTCCCATTTTTGTGGGTTTGAGAGCAAGTCAGGGCACAAGCTGCACTGTAGCGACTCATCTAATAGTGGGAAGTTTATAGACTTATCAGTGTCCCCAGACAGCTGCCTCGGCAGTTAGGTTCGTAAAAGCTGCAGTCTGCAGTCGACATGTATCCAACTGGCTAAAGTGAGAATTGACAAACAAAATGAAAACAGGGAAGAAAATGATTACCCCCCATATTTCCTTACATGGCCTTGGTGTTGATGATGACTGTTGTTAATATTCAATATTACCATAAAAAGTTGAATGTTGACAACTGCTCCCAAAATCAGAAGCTTAACTCTGAGAGGAAAACATCTGGTTTGATTCAGGGGAGTTCAGAGGGTGTGTGTGTGTGTCTGTGTGTGTGTGTGTGTGTGCGCGTGCATGCATGCGTGCGTACACCCATGTGCTGTTATATTGTGCATGTATGCGCATACACAACCACATTCCTGATGTTATGTAACACTGTTATTGCTGGAGGGACGGAGCAAACTGCTCACCCCTTTAAGACTGACTGATGGGCCGTTACAGAACCTGCAGATGTGGCTGTGTTTGAGGAAGAGTTCATGAACTGAGCTGCCCTTTGTGGAGTCACTGTGAAAGTGAGGAAATAATTTAAGTGTCACACAATGAGAAACAAATCCAAGCTTTATGTGAGCTCAACAAATGAGATTTTGTTAACTGGTCCCAACGTTAAACAAGACAGAGATCACAGTAGAGTACTCAGAGTGAAGGTCAGACTGTAGCCACACATGAAGTACAGACAAAAAGCTTATGACAGAAGAGTAATAAAACTAATGAACAAATGCCCTGTGACTGACTCAACAGTTCAGCATTAAACATTGAGTATCCCTGAAGCCAAATAACTGTTTTAGCCTTTGTATGAAGGTAGAATTTAGTGTTGATTTTTTTTTTTTTTTTTTTTTTTTTTTTTAAGTGATGAGCCAAAAAAATAAGTCATTCAATTTTGATCATTTTGATTTTTGAGTAATGGTCTCTGACTATCATCATTTTCTCGTTACGGCTTCTCGCATGTAAAAAAACTATTTGGGTTGATTCATTTTTCATTCATTTTTTTTGAATTTCATTCATCAAAATTTGGATTAAAAGAAATATTTTCTTAAGCTGTACATTTAGCCTGGAATTCAGACTGATTTGACTTTACATTACTTTTCACTTAATGTAAATCGTTGACAAATCTGAGGTGAGTGATAAAGAGGTCTTGAACCAGGCGAGCGAACATGTGGTGTCTTCAAATTTGGAAAAGGACATTGTCGCTCTACTGTTTTCTATGATCTAACATGTAAATCCCATCCACTGACATAACCAACTGACATTTTGGTGACAATTTAATAAAAAAGAAAAACGTGTCTCCAGTAGCTGATAAATTCCATATGTCAGTGTGTTCACAGTTACCTGTTTGCCACCAGGTGTCCACCACAGGACAGCGGCCATCTCCAACCACACTGTGGTACCACTCCCATGCTTCGGTGTTGATGGGCTCACCCACTGCAGAAAGACAAAGACAGACATGTATATAATGTTATATATTGTTTTAGTTAAATGCTTAGTTTATTTTTAATGTAAATTAGTTAGATTGATATTAACAAGCCAGAGGTGTTGGTAAAGAGAGACGTCTATGTTGCTTAGTAGCCGGATTTATATTCTTTATGTTAAGTTTTGTGTTATAGCTTCAGCCTTATGTTTCACTGGAACAGGTGTATGGTATGTATATACTGTGTGTTCGCTGGACTTTGCTGTGGACACTGTAGATTACTGAGGCATGTTGACGTGCTAGCCAGGCTTAACTTTCAGTGTACTTTAAGTATGTAACACGTGTGTGTTCCCACAGGAGAGGAATTCCTCTGGTCACTCTCCTGTACATGAGTGTATATGTGTAGTTTAACATGTGATTTTACACACTCTTAAGTCTCCCTTAATAATACTGTCTGGTACATACTGTGTTTGATGGTCAACACAATTTGCAGACTCTAGTTTGTGATGGAAGCTGGAGATACACTACATCACTTTTGTATGTATTTGTATTTCTAAATAAAAATAATTCCCACACCAGCACAGAAACACTTTGAGAGCTACATGGCAGCTCACACAAGTAAGCACAGTTCATGTGGTTGAACTGTAGAGTTGTTTCTGCTCTGTCTGATTGTCTGTTCTGGACTCTGTTCTTGTGATTGTTCACATAATAGTATTTTCAGATATAAAGGCGTACCAGAGCCCAGAGTTTTGAGGGTGGAGCGGTCATACTTGTGCACCCACTGGTCTCCATATTTGAGCAGCAGGCGGATCGCTGTGGGAGCCCCGTAAAACTGGTTAATCTTAAGTCTCTGAACCATCTCCCAGTACCTTCCTGTGGAAAACAAAACATGTCTTGAGTTAGCATGGCCTAAAGAGACATGCTACCATGTACTGAGAAGATACTGATAACCTATAATCAGAATCAGTTTCACCTTGACAATAACAATGTGTGTGTGCTGACACATTTGACGACTGAGGCCCTGACTCTTGTTTAAACAGAAGATAATTTTAGCACAGAAGCTACGGCCGAGTTCAAGTTCAACTGTAAACAGTTATTCATAGACAGACGGACACAGGCGAGCAGAGCTGCTGGCAAAGGACAGAAATACTGACAAGCTGTGTGTCAACACACTTTACACAGCATATAACATGATCATGAAAATGTCTTAAAAACGATGCCATTACAGCTAATAATAACGTCCTAAGATGAATACATGACAAATTGGAAGATTTGCTTTTCAACTATAGGTATTTAGAGTTTTTGTAACGTACGATGAATTTTCTTTTATTATGAAAGTGCCAACCAGTTGGATATATTCATACATTTGCTGGCATTCATACCTGGATCAGGGTAAATGGGAGTGCTCTCAAAAAGGACAGTGGTGCCCCCGTTGGCCAGCGGCCCATAGACACTGTAACTGTGTCCTGTTATCCAGCCAATATCTGCCACACAGCCGAATACATCTCCATCATGGTAGCTGAAGACATACTGGGGATAAGAAGGAAGATTGATGAGATGATTGGATAAAAAAAAAAAAATATTTATATGCTCATGGTCATTGTTTAGAGATGAAAATATAGTGTTTACATCCATTTTATACTGCTGAACAACCCATTTGATATAAACACAATTTGAACTCAGAATATTACGTAAATACATGATGTTAAAACTAGAGCACCATTTTTGGGTAATCTCCTGTGAACAGGCTGATACTTCCTGGACAGATGGTTGGACACTGGATTACAGATCACATTTTGGCTGTCCATGGCCTTCACTGGCATACAGTACAGTAACTATACACTGCATGATAGGAAAATAAAATCAGCAAGACACTACACATTGTGCTTGATGTTACCCTGTGGGTGAGTGCAGCATACAGCAGATACCCAGCCTGAGTGTGGACGAGTCCTTTGGGCTTCCCTGTGCTGCCTGATGTGTAAAGCAGGAACAAAACGTCCTCGCTGTCCATGGCAGCCGGCTCACACACCACGTCCTCCTTCAGCATTTCCTGGATGACACAGTGAATTTACTGGATTATTTGTTAATCACATCCAGTAACTGCAGCATAGTAATAGGACCACAACAGAACAAACTTTATTGCTTTTGTTGTGCCACACATGCAGTAAAACCTTTGAAGATACTAGGAGACAAAGCAATATTTTAAAAGGCAAATCCAGTCAGGAGCTGCTCTGGAGCTTTCAATCATACTGCAGAGTCTTTCCCAGCAGACAGAGTTTCTTATGGAACTGTAGATGTTCAACTCTCCATCTTTCTTCTGCTGAGGAAGCTCATGTGGTACGACTGAAAACTCCAGAACAGCTACTAGTGGACTGTCACCTGCTATTTTCAGCATCAAGAATGAATGTTTAACTTCGAAGATTAGTTGATAAATCAAGTCAACCATCAAGTCAAAACAATTGTGGTTAACTGGTTTATTTCTAAAATAAATGCATCAAACAAAAATGTCAAACATTCACCAGACATTTTTTTTCTATCTTCATCTATCCGTGGAAAGTGACTGCTGTTTGCATTTGTTAGGAACCTGCTCTCTCACCTCCTCCATGGCGACGTCCTTGGCTGTCATGACAACTGGATTCTCTGTTCTCATAGCAACAAACACCTGCTGTACTGTCGGACAGCTCTGGACCGCTGTATCCACCGTCCTCTTCAGCTCTGTGACCTTACCCCCTCTGACGCCCTGGTTCACTGTGATGACAGTGCTGGATCGGGCTGAAAATGTGATGCATATGAAAATCAGACTTTTTTATTAAACTAACTTTATTAACTGCACTGAACTGAACTGCAATTGTCAAGATTCTATTTATACTGTAATAATAATAATAATAATAATAATTGTAATTTGTGTTGCTTTTATATTCTGTCTTGATACGTTTTATGCTTTATGTAAAGCACTTTGAATTGCCTTGTTGAAATGTGCTATACAAATAAACTTGCCTTGCCTCGCCTTTAACTTAAATTCAACATATTGTAATACTGTGGTGAAGGAAATACTAGAAGTAAAAGCATCTGATTGCAATCCCTGGATATTGTGACTGAAAAAAATTCCCCTTGACTGTGTTTCGAATATATTAAAAAGCCACCAAACCCAATGGTATAACACATTTGCTCTGCATGGAAAAACACAAGAGTTATTTGTGTTCCAAATAAGCGAAGAAGTACGGAGCCAATCATAATATTTTTTAGAAAGCTCATCCAGTATTACTAATGAACAGTGGCATGGTTTAAAAATGGACAGTATATCAGGATGTTTTATTTGATGGTAGAACTTGCTCCTGACACAATTTTTTGAATTTGTCTAAAAACAGATCACAGAGGCACAACCTGTCCCATCATAAGCAGCACTTTCACTTGTTATCAGCCAGGGTTCATCTAACAATTAAATCTGCCCAAACTATATTTTCATATCAACAGTGAAATTAAATTACGATGCACATTGTGAAAGGGGTCACTCATAGGGATGAACCCATTGAGAATTGTCACCTGCAGTATTAATCCCATGGTGCTTTTTGGTGTCTTTCAGCTCACTGTTATGGTTTTACAGAGCAAAATAAACTTTAACATTGACATATCACCTATAATTATCTATAATATAACATTATTAAGCAATTGCTAATTGCCATCCAGCTGACCCATAGCAACAGTAGCATGCATCTGAAGTCATGTATTTGTCCACCTGGCAAATGTCTCTTTTCACTCTTTTCACTCACTTTGTGATCTTTACGAGCTAACTCTTGGAGGAAATATCAGTCTATTTTAGAGGAAAATAGCTGTCTGCTGCTGCTTGAAACAATGCTGATGGGAGACAATTAAATTGTGGGACGTAAAACCAAAACAAAGAGGTGAAAGACACCATTAAAGACACAAATCTCTATCGAACTAAGGGAAACTGCAGAGTCAGGTGGTAATTCTCTGTGAGTTGTCCACTACAAGTGACCCTTTTTCACAATACATGTATTCATTTGCTCCATTGTTGAAATAAAAATGTTGATCCGTGCAGCTTTAAAATGCACAGTGGAAATCTGTTTCCTGTCTCATGCTGTTATCTAAATTTCTGACAGCATCAGCAGGTCAGTCACACTGTCTCACCATCTCTTATTCGCTCTGCCAAGGCCTCTGCACTGAACCCGGCAAACACCACGTTGTGGGCTGCACCAATGCGGGCACAGGCCAACATGGACACCACAGCCAGAGGGCAAGGAGGCATGTAGATGGTGACACAGTCCCCCCTCTTCACACCACGCCGCCTTAGAAGGTTTCCTAGGCGACATGTCATCTCCAGTAGCTCCCTATGAAGAGACACATATCAGTGAACTGAGGTAAATGAAGCAGGAGCACACACACTTATACAATAAATCCAATCTGCCAACCTGTAGGTGACCTTGACCTCTGACCCCGGCTCATCTCTCTCCCAGATCAAAGCCACTCTCTCGGGACAGGTGTGTACATGCCGGTCCAGGCAGTTCACTGAATGTGCCCATAGAGAAAACACATGCATACTTACATACACACAGAAAAAAAATTACACTTTATCTGCTTCACTCATCACCACAGTAGCAATTCAAGGTGTTCTGTAGTTAAAGTGATTAGCAATGTTGCCTCTCAATCAGGGTTTTATGGGTTTGAATCCTGGTCCTTGGTCTTTGTGGAGTTGACATGTTCTCCCTGTGACTGCAAGGATTCTCTCCAGTACTCATGCTTCCTCGCACAGTCCAGACGTACTACACTATGACGTTTTTTGTTTTGTTTTTATGCCTTATATATATGTATGACGTTTTTTGACATACTATACTATGACGTTTTTTGATGTTCTTATGCCTTATTGTACTATGATGTTTTTTGACATTTTATGCCATACTAAACTATGACGTTTTTTGATATTTTTATGCCTTATTGTACTATGACGTTTTTTGACGTTTTATGCCATACTATACTATGACGTTTTTTGACTTTTTTATGCCATACTATACTATGACGTTTTTTGACGTTTTATGCAATAATATACTATGACGTTTTTTGACATTTTTATGCCATACTATATTATGACGTTTTTTGACATTTTATGCCATACTATACTATGACGTTTTTTGACATACTATACTGTGACGTTTTTTGACATTTTTATGCCATACTATATTATGACGTTTTTTGACATTTTATGCCATACTATACTATGACGTTTTTTGACATACTATACTGTGACGTTTTTTGACATTTTTATGCCATACTATATTATGACGTTTTTTGACATTTTATGCCATACTATACTATGACGTTTTTTGACATACTATACTGTGACGTTTTTTGACATTTTTATGCCATACTAAATTATGACGTTTTTTGATGTTTTATGCCATACTATACTATGACGTTTTTTGACGTTTTTATGCCTTATTGTACTATGACGTTTTTTAACATTTTATGCCATACTATACTATGACGTTTTTTGACGTTTTAATGCCTTATTGTACTATGGCGTTATTGACATTTTATGCCATACTAAACTATGACGTTTTTTGACGTTTTATGCCTTATTATACTATGACGTTTTTTGACATTTTTATGCCATACTATACTATGACGTTTTTTTACATTTTATGCCATACTATACTATGACGTTTTTTGACATACTATACTGTGATGTTTTTTCACATTTTTATGCCATACTATGCTATGACGTTTTTTGATGTTTTATGACATACTATACTATGACGTTTTTTGACGTTTTTATGCCTTATTGTACTGACGTTTTTTAACATTTTATGCCATACTATACTATGACGTTTTTTGACATACTATACTATGACGTTTTTTGACATTTTATGCCATACTATACTATGACGTTTTTTGACATAGTATACTGTGATGTTTTTTGCCATTTTTATGCCATACTATGCTATGACGTTTTTTGATGTTTTATGCCATACTATACTATGACGTTTTTTGACATACTATACTATGACGTTTTTTGACATTTTATGCAATACTATACTATGACGTTTTTTGACGTTTTATACCTTATTGTACTATGACGTTATTGACATTTTATGCCATACTAAACTATGACGTTTTTTGACGTTTTATGCCTTATTATACTATGACGTTTTTTGACATTTTTATGCCATACTATACTATGACATTTTTTGACATTTTATGCCATACTATACTATGACGTTTTTGATGTTTTATGCCATACTATACTATGACATTTTTTGACATACTATACTGTGACGTTTTTTGACATTTTATGCCATACTATACTATGACGTTTTTTGACGTTTTATGCCATACTATACTATGACGTTTTTTTACGTTTTTATGCCATACTATACTATGACGTTTTTTGTCATTTTTATGTCATACTATACTATAACGTTTTTTGACATTTTATGCCATACTATACTGTGATGTTTTTTGACATTTTTATGCCATACTATACTATGATGTTTTTTGACGTTTTATGCCATGCTATACTATGACGTTTTTTGACATTTTATGCCATACTATATTATGACGTTTTTTGATGTTTTATGCCATACTATACTATGACGTTTTTTGATGTTTTTATGCCTTATTGTACTATGACGTTTTTTGACATTTTATGCCATACTATACTATGACATTTTTTGATGTTTTTATGCCTTATTGTACTATGACGTTTTGTGACATTTTATGCCATACTATACTATGACATTTTTTGATGTTTTTATGCCTTATTGTACTATGACGTTCTTTGACATTTTTATGCCATACTATACTATGACATTTTTTGACATTTTATGCCATACTATACTGTGACTTTTTTTGACATACTATATTATGACGTTTTTTGACGTTTTTATGCCATAATATACTATAACGTTTTTTGACGTTTTTATGCCATACTATACTATGACGTTTTTTGATGTTTTTATTCCATTCTATACTATGACGTTTTTTGACATTTTATGCCATACTATACTATGACGTTTTTTGACATTTTTATGCCTTATTTTACTATGACGTCTTTTGACATTTTATGCCATACTACACTATGACGTTTTTTGACATTTTATGCCATACTATACTGTGACGTTTTTTGACATTTTATGCCATACTATACTATGACGTTTTTTGACGTTTTTATGCCATACTATACTATGACGTTTTTTGACAAACTATACTGTCACGTTTTTTGACATTTTATGCCATACTATACTATGACGTTTTTTGACATTCTCATGCCATACTATACTATGACGTTTTGTGAAATCTTATGGCATACTATACTATGACGTTTTTTGACATTCTCATGCCATACTATACTATGACGTTTTGTGAAATCTTATGGCATACTATACTATGACGTTTTTTGACATTCTCATGCCATACTATACTATGACGTTTTGTGAAATCTTATGGCATACTATACTATGACGTTTTTTGACATTCTCATGCCATACTATACTATGACGTTTTGTGAAATCTTATGGCATACTATACTATGACGTTTTTTGACATTCTCATGCCATACTATACTATGACGTTTTGTGAAATCTTATGGCATACTATACTATGACGTTTTTTGACATTCTCATGCCATACTATACTATGACGTTTTGTGAAATCTTATGGCATACTATACTATGACGTTTTTTGACATTCTCATGCCATACTATACTATGACGTTTTGTGAAATCTTATGGCATACTATACTATGACGTTTTTTGACATTCTCATGCCATACTATACTATGACGTTTTGTGAAATCTTATGGCATACTATACTATGACGTTTTTTGACATTCTCATGCCATACTATACTATGACGTTTTGTGAAATCTTATGGCATACTATACTATGACGTTTTTTGACATTCTCATGCCATACTATACTATGACGTTTTGTGAAATCTTATGGCATACTATACTATGACGTTTTTTGACATTCTCATGCCATACTATACTATGACGTTTTGTGAAATCTTATGGCATACTATACTATGACGTTTTTTGACATTCTCATGCCATACTATACTATGACGTTTTGTGAAATCTTATGGCATACTATACTATGACGTTTTTTGACATTCTCATGCCATACTATACTATGACGTTTTGTGAAATCTTATGGCATACTATACTATGACGTTTTTTGACATTCTCATGCCATACTATACTATGACGTTTTGTGAAATCTTATGGCATACTATACTATGACGTTTTTTGACATTCTCATGCCATACTATACTATGACGTTTTGTGAAATCTTATGGCATACTATACTATGACGTTTTTTGACATTCTCATGCCATACTATACTATGACGTTTTGTGAAATCTTATGGCATACTATACTATGACGTTTTTTGACATTCTCATGCCATACTATACTATGACGTTTTGTGAAATCTTATGGCATACTATACTATGACGTTTTTTGACATTCTCATGCCATACTATACTATGACGTTTTGTGAAATCTTATGGCATACTATACTATGACGTTTTTTGACATTCTCATGCCATACTATACTATGACGTTTTGTGAAATCTTATGGCATACTATACTATGACGTTTTTTGACATTCTCATGCCATACTATACTATGACGTTTTGTGAAATCTTATGGCATACTATACTATGACGTTTTTTGACATTCTCATGCCATACTATACTATGACGTTTTGTGAAATCTTATGGCATACTATACTATGACGTTTTTTGACATTCTCATGCCATACTATACTATGACGTTTTGTGAAATCTTATGGCATACTATACTATGACGTTTTTTGACATTCTCATGCCATACTATACTATGACGTTTTGTGAAATCTTATGGCATACTATACTATGACGTTTTTTGACATTCTCATGCCATACTATACTATGACGTTTTGTGAAATCTTATGGCATACTATACTATGACGTTTTTTGACATTCTCATGCCATACTATACTATGACGTTTTGTGAAATCTTATGGCATACTATACTATGACGTTTTTTGACATTCTCATGCCATACTATACTATGACGTTTTGTGAAATCTTATGGCATACTATACTATGACGTTTTTTGACATTCTCATGCCATACTATACTATGACGTTTTGTGAAATCTTATGGCATACTATACTATGACGTTTTTTGACATTCTCATGCCATACTATACTATGACGTTTTGTGAAATCTTATGGCATACTATACTATGACGTTTTTTGACATTCTCATGCCATACTATACTATGACGTTTTGTGAAATCTTATGGCATACTATACTATGACGTTTTTTGACATTCTCATGCCATACTATACTATGACGTTTTGTGAAATCTTATGGCATACTATACTATGACGTTTTTTGACATTCTCATGCCATACTATACTATGACGTTTTGTGAAATCTTATGGCATACTATACTATGACGTTTTTTGACATTCTCATGCCATACTATACTATGACGTTTTGTGAAATCTTATGGCATACTATACTATGACGTTTTTTGACATTCTCATGCCATACTATACTATGACGTTTTGTGAAATCTTATGGCATACTATACTATGACGTTTTTTGACATTCTCATGCCATACTATACTATGACGTTTTGTGAAATCTTATGGCATACTATACTATGACGTTTTTTGACATTCTCATGCCATACTATACTATGACGTTTTGTGAAATCTTATGGCATACTATACTATGACGTTTTTTGACATTCTCATGCCATACTATACTATGACGTTTTGTGAAATCTTATGGCATACTATACTATGACGTTTTTTGACATTCTCATGCCATACTATACTATGACGTTTTGTGAAATCTTATGGCATACTATACTATGACGTTTTTTGACATTCTCATGCCATACTATACTATGACGTTTTGTGAAATCTTATGGCATACTATACTATGACGTTTTTTGACATTCTCATGCCATACTATACTATGACGTTTTGTGAAATCTTATGGCATACTATACTATGACGTTTTTTGACATTCTCATGCCATACTATACTATGACGTTTTGTGAAATCTTATGGCATACTATACTATGACGTTTTTTGACATTCTCATGCCATACTATACTATGACGTTTTGTGAAATCTTATGGCATACTATACTATGACGTTTTTTGACATTCTCATGCCATACTATACTATGACGTTTTGTGAAATCTTATGGCATACTATACTATGACGTTTTTTGACATTCTCATGCCATACTATACTATGACGTTTTGTGAAATCTTATGGCATACTATACTATGACGTTTTTTGACATTCTCATGCCATACTATACTATGACGTTTTGTGAAATCTTATGGCATACTATACTATGACGTTTTTTGACATACTATATTGTGACGTTTTTTGACATTTTATGCCATACTATACTATGACGTTTTTTGACATACTATATTGTGACGTTTTTTGACATTTTATGCCATGATATATATTTGGGGTGGATATATATTTATGTAATATATGTCTATAATATAAACATATACTATAAATATATACTATGACGTTTTTTGACATACTATACTGTGACGTTTTTTGACATTTTTATGCCATACTATACTATGACGTTTTTTGACATTTTTATGCCATACTATACTATGACGTTTTTTGACGTTTTTACGCCTTATTGTACTATGACGTTTTGTGAGATTTTATGCCATACTATACTATGACGTTTTTTGACGTTTTTACGCCTTATTGTACTATGACGTTTTGTGAGATTTTATGCCATACTATACTATGACGTTTTTTGACGTTTTTACGCCTTATTGTACTATGACGTTTTGTGAGATTTTATGCCATACTATACTATGACGTTTTTTGACGTTTTTACGCCTTATTGTACTATGACGTTTTGTGAGATTTTATGCCATACTATACTATGACGTTTTTTGACTTTTTTATGCCATACTATACTATGACGTTTTTTGACGTTTTTACGCCTTATTGTACTATGACGTTTTGTGAGATTTTATGCCATACTATACTATGATGTTTTTTGACGTTTTTATGCTATACTATGCTATGACGTTTTTTGACGTTTTATGCCATTCTATACTATGATGTTTTTTGACATTTTTATGACATACTATACTATGACGTTTTTTGACATTTTTATGCCATACTATACTATGACGTTTTTTGACATTTTTATGACATACTATACTATGACGTTTTTATGCCATACTATACTATGACGTTTTTTGACGTTTTATGCCATACTATACTATGAAGTTTTTTGACATTTTATGCCATACTATAATATGACGTTTTTTGACATACTATACTGTGACGTTTTTTGACATTTTATGCCATACTAAACTATGACATTTTTTGACATACTATACTGTGACGTTTTTTGACATTTTATGCCATACTATACTATGACTTTTTTTGACATTTTTATGCCATACTATACTATGACGTTTTTTGACGTTTTATGCCATACTATACTATGACGTTCTTTGACATTTTATGCCATACTATACTATGACGTTTTTTGACATTTTTATGCCATACTATACTATGACATTTTTTGACGTTTTTATGCCATACTATACTATGACGTTTCTTGACGTTTTATGCCATACTATACTATGACATTTTTTGACGTTTTTATGCCATACTATGCTATGACGTTTTTTGACATTTTATGCCATACTATACTATGACGTTTTTTGACATACTATACTGTGACGTTTTTTGACATTTTATGCCATACTATACTATGACGTTTTTATGCCATACTATAGTATGATGTCTTTTGATGTTTTTTGCCTCAGTACACAATGTTTGAAGTTTTTTGACGTTTGTACGCCTTCCTATACTATTACATTTTTTTAGGCTTTTATGCCTTAACATAGTATGACTTTATATGTCTTACTATTCTATGATGTCCTTATGCATTATTATATGATGAAATACGTATGGGGCTCCTTCATGGTCCAGTGTTTAGCAGCTGTTTAGCTGTTACCTCTCAATCAGAAGGTTATCGGTTCGAACACCGGTCCTTGGTCTTTGTTGGGTTGGCATGTTCTCCCTGTGCTTGCGAGAATTCACTAAGGTACTCCTGCTCCCTCACACACTCCAGACTTGTTCCTTACTAATGACTTTTTTATGCCTTAATATACTATGACTTGTATGACATATGTATGACATATATGTCCCTTTATCAGGGGTGATGTAACCATATGTGTCACCTATAAGTGGATACATTATTATGACATATATACATCCTCTGGATATATGAAGATATAAGTTCATAATATATTTCAAAATTTTCATAGTCAAATGCAACTCTATTAAAACAGCATTCTTTTTTAAATACTATATATTTGTATTTGATTTTCTGAATAATCTCCAATTATATTTAAAAATAGAGGTCTATCTTTTATATTTACATATATAATATGAACATAGCTTATACTGACAGGTTTTGGGGTGGATATATATTTATGTAACATATGTCTATAATATAAACAGACTTACTAAAATACTTGTTTCTTGGCTATTAACTGGACATATATTTCAATATATGATATTGTTCCTATTTCTAGCATGTTTCATATGTATTTTTTTTATATAGGATATACTTTAAACATATATGATTTTACTTCATATGTACATTTATTTCATATATGGAAATTCAACACATATAAGCTACATATATAACATTTGCGTATGGGCATTCCTGAATGAATATTCAGATCTTATATGTTAATAAACCGTTTGGTTGATTGCATTAAAAGGCCAAATGTCTTTGTTTTGGAGCGGTGGCGAAGTTGTTGCGCCCCTACCAATACTGAGACCAAACCTACGCCCTTGGTTAAATGTGTTGATAGGTTTTGCATCATGATGCCTGACGTTTCTGGACGCGTTTTTAACATGGAAAATTGTGCAATATCAAATTTAACTCTATTGTCTCTGGTTGTGACTTCAATGAATCAGTTTCTATTTCTATTCTATTGATCAAATCTATCTCCACAATGCCAATTACTTACATTCTGAAGCTAACCTTACCGGACACATTAAGCTTTCCTCCTTCAAACCACTTAATCTTGCCTCGGCTCAGGTCACAGTCCTGGACCGTGTGGAAAGGACTGATCCAGCTAAGTCTCTGACGCGCCACAGCGGCCCAGAAGCTCTCGCTACAGGAGACTGAAAACTCCTGCAGAGCTGAGCGGTCCGACACTGCTTCAAACGCCGCAGCCTCCGGCATAAAAGCTGCTGTGTTACATCTCCTTCGACTCAAACCATGGAAACAAGACCTGAAGATCCGACGCGTGAAGGAGGCCATGACGTACTTTGAAGTACATCCAGAAGACAGCCACATAATGAAAGTGGCCAGTGCTCAGTGCGATGTGAGAGGCTTGCAAAGTGCTTTCGCAACAGAAAACAGATTGTTGAACTAATATTGGAAGTTACCCTGTTCAACTTAACTGAACTGGGAAAACTTGGAAACTCCGGAGGAAGTTCTGGAGAAGTGACGCCTTAAAGGGCGGTGCAACCCCCATGTGCCGACAGTTTTTTCCTGGAAAGTATAGTAAGCTACAGCTGGATTTCAGTATCACTTGCAATAGAAAAGATAACTCAGTAAATTCATTATATAAAGATTATCTCCAGACACGGTTTAACATTAAATAATACAGTGCTTTGAATGATGAGTTGTCTGATTTGATTTTTCCATTAAAAAGGTCCTAAGTGACCAATTCTTTACATGTACTCCATCCCGCTCATTGAAAAATAAATAATGTATAAATATTCAAATATTTCTTCTTTTCAAAAGTTTAAAGGTCCCATATTTTACACTTTTCTACTTTTTCATTTAAAGTTTATATATCCATAAGATGATATATTTGGGTTTTAAGTACCAAAAACTATCCCAATGTAGTTTTATATCTCCTCTCTTAGGCTTATCTCAGGGGCAGTAGTAACAACAGGTCTGTGAGCCAGTCATAAGAGAGGTTCTGAGCCTCTCTTCTGACTGTTTTCTGAGTGGTTGGATATAAGACAGAAGATTTCAGGCAAACACTCAGAGAACCCAAATCCTGCAAGGTTGAAGGGTGGGTCTGGATGGGCTGGGCTTGGGGCATGGTTGAGGGACATGACTACTTTGTTGTGACATCACAAAGTAACAGAAGTTCTGATGGCTCACTTCAAGGCACAGTTTCTGAATACAGGCTGTGGGCTGTGGGCTCTGTGAACTGGGTGCTTTGATACTTTCATAATACTAATATAGAACCTAGACCTGCTTTATAATCAAAAAAGACACGGAAATCTCACTTTATTTTATTAATATGAGGTCTTTAACTACTGGACACAGGATGTCCATTCTCACTCTAGAAACTGGAGGCTTCAATTTTCCAACTCACACCAAGTGTAACAGTTTCAGACTAGTTGTAAATGTCACAAATCCCACGTGTACATACATGTGTTAAACTCATATTTAAGGTGACACAGAAACTTTGCCTCTTCAGCTGATGAATGAAAACAAATTGCATCATTCTGCAGTGAAGCTGTAACTTTTAATACAGCTACAGTTACATTTATACAAAGACAAACAGTGAATTGATGTTAACTTTATACATAATTGTACAGTATTAACTATTGGACATTATTTTTTAGTATTTACATCACAATTATTGAAACAGTTGAAAGAAAACAAAGGGTGTTGGACTTAACTGTGTTTTTCAGTCATCCCAGCTAAAATCTGTCATCATGAGGAGGTCAGGGGTCACAGTCAGCTCCTAATGAACACCTCTGGAGCAGGTGAAGAGGCTCAACATGCTCACTGATAAGAGGGTTTCAACACAAGTTAAATGAAAGCTGCCATGTCACAGAACTGTAAGGTCCACAATATGTTTTAAAGAAAATAAAATATATATATATCTTTTTTTTTTTTTTGAATGCAGCTCCATGTGAGAACATTTTGTTAGAGAAACGTCCCAGTGTTTAAGCATCCTTCAGTCCCTTTCAATGACATAAAACTGTATTTTACAGTTTTTGTTACCTGTACATAAATTACTATGAGCAGTGAGGAAGAAATCATCTCTGGGTAAACATTTTTCTTTTTATGTATTTCCAATAATAATATTTGAACTGCAGGTTTGATATACAGTATAAGTTGAGTGGTTTATTTAACAAGGTTATGGGTGACTCCATGTGCGTGGTCCCCCCCCCCCCGCCGAGGTTCAGCTCAGCCAATAAAAGAAGACCTCTCCCTTTGAGAAGTGTTTGCAAACTCCACTTTGCAGGGATTTCACCATCAGTCTGTATCCTGCAGCCCTGTTCAGTTTCTCTTCTCCTCCTCTGCTGTTTCCTGCTCTGTCACATGATCGTCAGCTTCCTCTTTGTGCGTTATGTGGCCGTTTGTTCTGTTTGAAACTGTCCCAAGCATCTTAGCGCTGTGCTCCTGCGCCTTCGCTCGCAGTGCAGCAATACTGTTCTCCCTCAGTTCCTCTTTAGAAATTGGGGAGTTAGTGTCTTTCCTCTCTTGCTCCTTCTCTTCCTCCATCTCTCTGTCAACTGGTTTCTCCTGTGCTGGTGTTGGGGTTGTGCTGCTAGTTTTGCCTGGAGAAGTGTGCGTGGTTTCCACTGACTTCTTGTGCATACCTGGAGGGAAGTGACAGTATTTTCAATTAGGTCTTGTAGAGGTAGAATTGTCTTAAGATTAGATGATGTAACTATGAGGGTGTAAAGAGTTGCCTTGCACAATATTCATGGTTTTGGTACATTTAAGTGATTTAATGTCTAAAAAGGAAAAAGAGCAATGAAAAATAATGTATCTATTGCTTAGAAGTATGAAATCTTGTTTTATAGTGAGGTATTTGACATTGAAAAAGTGTGAAAGAGAATAACTAGGGAGGGGATGTATGGGTGGGTGAGACATCTTATTCAATTAGAGTCATCTGATTGATTAGAACTAATCAATTGACACGAGGCGAGAGAGGAGATTTGGCCTAATCTGTCCTGATGAAGTAGGATTATCACTGTATCGACTGCTACCTTTTATTGACATGCAGACGCTTTTATTGGCTCCTAACTTGAGCAGGGCTTAGCACCCACTTTCTGTTGTCAGAATACATCTATTCCCTGTTCTTCAACCCATCTAGAAAACCTGATAAAGATATAGAAAATGCCAAATTTTATTAGTTTCAGACGATCAGAGGATAGCCTGGGTCAGGCAGCTTTTAAAAATAGTCTACCCCCTCGCATGACAAAGAAATTAACTTTGAGTTAACTTCGTGAGTTAATGAAGCATTTGTAGATTTTTCCTACTCCGTTATAAAAAAAAACCCTTTATGTTGGACTTTCAATACACTCCAAGTTTATTTCCAACCGTTTTCATTTCCAAGCTCAGTGATGGAGGATGGTGCTCTATGACTTATGAACTCATCACCAGACGTGTGCTGTGAGCAAGCTTACAAATCTTTATTTTAAACTATGACCTGTCAGTTACAAGCTGAAGGGACAACAGACATGGAAGGAAAGAGTTTGTTCTGTTAGCATTGCCAGTGTTTTCTCATAGAGAACAATAAAGGACAAAAAAAAGGTGTTTTTCTCAGTGGACATTTTAACTTGTCACAGTGGGAGAAGTACAGGCCAGCTCTGTTTTATTCAAGTGTCCCACTAAGTCGCGGCAGCGTGACAGTGAACACCTTGAAACTGAAGCAGCTAAATAGAATTGAGCCTTCATTCATTTTCTTTTATCATGTACACCTTTGCTTTTCTTACTGTGACACGTCAACATGAAAAAGATCTGATACGTGACAAAGACAATTCTGCAGCAGCTCACCCAGTAACCACGGAGCATAAGAGTCTGTGACGCCGTCCTTGGCAGACTTGAGGATGGACTCGGGCAGGGGGATGGAGTGACGGACCATGGCTCCGTACAGGCCGTACTCCGCCATCACACTGCTGCGACCCCAACACTTCTCCCTTTTCCGCCACTTGGCCCTGCGGTTCTGAAACCACACCTAGAGAAATGACCGTCAGATAAAGATTAATTAAATCTGTGCAGTCAGTCTGGGCAAATAATGTTTTTATTATTCCAACCAACCAAAACACACAAAATCAGGCCTCCTTTCACTTATTTCTTTTAATATATAATTTAATTTTTTTTGCTTATTATTACTTGTTGGATCTTCAGCTGTGCAGAATGATGCATATGCAGAGTTTGACAGGCTGTTTCCACATTAATCCACAAAAGGAGGAAAGTTTCTCTCTGTGCTAATCTTGAATCTGATCATGATTTTGTAACATCACAAATAGTTTAGTCGCCAGTCATGACTCAACATCTAGCTTACACAAGTGTAATGTGGAAACTTGAAGCCTCAGTAAAGTAAAACAGTAAAGAAAGAGACGTTTTGTTTCCAGCAGTTAAAGTTATGAAAACGAAAAAAATTGCAGATGTATAAATGAAATTACTAATCAAAGCAGATTATTTTTTATATTTAGTAAAACATGTGAAAGGGACCTTAAACATATTTTAAAACCACTATGAAGGACCACCCTCTCATTTTGTCATTGATCACAGAACAGTAGAACAATGACATCTGCTGGAGATTTAAAACAACAAGAGGCCATGTTTGAGAGAGACTGGTTTCCATTGTCATAATCTTGGTCTTTCCTCAAATTTGAGCATTTACTTTGGTGCTTCCATCCCATATTGTAGATGCATTATGGACCCAAAATGTAAGTATTGTGTGATGTCAAAAACAGGTTTACCACACTAGCCCCCCAAATTCAGTGTTTAATATTACTATTTTTCTCTCATCGTTCGCTTCATCTGTGGAACATCGTCTTTTGTCACTTGTGTGAGTGTTCTGCATGTGTGTGTGTGCTCGTGGATTATTCTACCTCTGGCTCCTCAAGTGCCTAAATTGATTTCCACCAAGCCAGACTTTGTAATAGCCTCAGCAAGCTTGTGAATATGGATGAGGAAAACAGGAAAAAAAAATGAGCATCCTAAAATGGCCGAGGAGGCTGGATGAGATTGTGGGGATGGTGTGTGTGTGTGTGTGTGTGTGCTGTGTGTGTGGTGTGGTGTGTGTGTGTGTGTGTGTGTGTGTGTGTGTGTGTGTGTGTGTGTCTTCTTCAGACCTGGAATTAAAAACCATCAAAGCCGAGTCGGGAAAGCTATTCAGGTAGATCTGATGATAACCTCCATCTCATAAAAAGATGGGCCTCAGATGAGCAATCATGCTTTTTGACAGCAATGGTGTGTGTGTGTGTGTGTGTGTGTGTGTGTGTGTGTGTGTGTGTGTGTGTGTGAAGTGCTTCCTGCGAGAGGTGACCCGGGGGGCGAAGAGGCTGATTGAAAAATAAGTTAATTTCCAGGCCCGATCGATGGGGGACAGGCACTCAAATATCACGGGAAATTAAAATGCTCATAGCAGCCAGGCAGAGCCTCTGCTCAGCCGCTGACCTCTGCTAATTAATTTCTGTGTAGTTATCATTTCATTTCAGGGCTGTGGCCCGCCTCTCGCAGGGAGAGAGGTGATAAGTTCTCCTCAATTAACTAATTACACAGAGAGGTTGAATTGGCTGCTAATGTGAGAGCAGGGGAGAGACATTGTGAGGATGATGATGGAGCAGATGACCAGAGGCTCCACCTGTCCATCCACCTCAATACTTGCTTCTTTTTTCTTTTCTTTTTTGTGTTACAAGTCTGTCTTCTACACTTTGTAACCTGAATTTGTGGCATGCAATATGACTGCAAGTAATTCTAACCTTGATTTAATGTTAAAAAAAATCATAGTTTGCAGTCAATATGTAAATGATTTGACTGAATAAACACTTTTTATTTTGAAAAAGGGTCTAATTTTTGTCTTTTTGCCCCTCTTAAACCAAGACGATTAAAGCGTCTTCAAGATATGAAATTCTAACAGAGCATAGATGCCCTACATGTCTGCAGCTGGCACACACATGAATACACACCTGTATTCTGTCCTCTGGTAGCTCAGTCTTCATGGAGAGCATTTCTCGGGCGTATACGTCAGGGTAGTGAGCTTCATTAAAAGCTTTCTCCAGCTCCTCCAGCTGATAGGACGTGAAAATGGTTCTGCACACAAAAGAAAACAGAGCACAGGAGGATAAATACCATCTATACATTTGGTTCTCTTGAAACACTAATTCCATATTTTCCCATTTGTAAAAAATTACAAACATTCCGTTTTTCTTTTCCAACTTTTCCAATTTTCCAATTTTCAAGTAATTAAAAATAAATACAATACTATTATTATTACTATTTTTTTCTCTGCATTGAAAAAAAAAACTTGAATATGAGATGCGATTTTTTTCTTATTCCTAACGAAAAATATTGCAACAGTGTATTTTACAGAGGAGATCATGATGATTTTTTTACGAGGAATTTTAGGCTAATTTCATATTATATAATAACATATTCATGGCATCACAGACACACACACACACATACAACAAACAAATGAAATTACAGGAATTAAATGTGTTTTGTTTTTCGTTCGGGGTTTTGTCACTGACACCAAACGAAAGCGGCCTGCATTGAAATTACTACAGGGCCTAATACAGTACGTGCCATCATCGATGTACAAAATGAAGATATATTTCTGAATGTCTTTCGATAATCTTGTTTTAATCCACATGTTTTTGTTTTACCTGTGTCGTCGTTTCTTTCTTTTCTTGCTCTGACTCAGGGATGATTTTGAGAATTTCTGATCACCGGAGGAGAAACTCATATCGTCAGAATCTGTGAGGAAACACATCCGTGACCAACTTCAAATACCAGCACAGCAACAGCAATAACAATAACAATACTAATAATACTAATACTAATACTAATACTAATACTAATACTACTACTAATAATAATAATAATAATAACACGAATGATAGTAGAAAGTAGTCATACAGGTCTTTTTTTTTTTTAAAAGTCTGCTTTCTTGATGTAAAGTGGTTATTTCTATTCTGATTTTTGAGCGCGAATTTTTCCCAAATGATAGAATTTTTTTTTTAAAAAAAGAACAAAATTTCAATAATATTTTAGCTTTAGCTTTTTTATTTTAGTTTTTCAATATTTTCCCAATTTTGAAAACAAAAGCTTTTATAAAGATGCTTTAAAAAAAATAAAAAAAATTCCAATGTAGGTTGATTTTTTTTGTTTTTTTTAATTTAGGGTGAATTTAACTTTCAATCTCTCTGCCATTATTGTTGCTCGATCAGGGCGCGAAAGCTTTGGCACTTGTGCTTCTTTTCTCTTTTTTTTCTCTTTGGTGAGAGAAATGTTTGCATGACACTCATTCAACTAAGAGTTGATTTTTTTCATTATCCTCAATTCTGCATCAGAATCACACAGCGTGTCACCAGAGGCCTTCAGGACATTGTTTCAGACACTCACCGGAGCTGGCGGAGTGCTGTGCATCCATCTGCGCCTCCATGTGCGCCGCTCTGTGCAGAGGCTGCAGGTGCACATTTTGCGCCTCTGACAGCACCTCCAGAAAAGCAGGCTGACTATAAAACGAGTGTATTCCCTCTGGTCCCAGCAAACCCATGCCGACCCCGAGCCCACCGTGACCGAGGGCCGACCTTGCGGCCAGGACGTGCGCCCTGTGCGGCAGAGCCTCCAGCGGCCGCCTCGGTGCCGCCGGCGGCTCCTTGTTGAGGCCGAGCAGCTCCTGGATCCCAAAACCTGTGCGCCGGTGCACCGTGGGGGCCATCTTCCAGACAGGAGGCGGCTGCTGGGATCCCCCGTGGTTCACGCTGGTTTGAGAAGCTGATTTCTGTTTGTTCTCGGTGTCTGAAAGCACAACTCCCTCCTTCCCTGTCATGGTTATGCGATGACACTTTTTGTTTTTCACTCCAGAGTCCCTGGTGCAATGTGCAGAGTGCTGCTCCTCCTCATCTCCCTGCCCTCTCCTCTGCTTTTTATCCAACAGGCAACAGGCGTCAGCCAATCACAGGAGAGGAGACAGCACACTGAAGTTTCCATCAGCCCCAATAAGCTTTATCTAAACACAAAGCAGATATCTGGCAATTACATGTGACAGAATAGCCTGACTATATTTTCAAACTGTGAGGTTGTGGATGGATTTTTTTTTCTACGTCCTTGACAAACAGGCTAATAAGTGACGTCATCTCTTAGAGATGGTGTCAACCACTCTGGGTTAGGCTCATTGCTTTTTACAGAAGAGTTTTTCTTAAGTTTGATACATTATTTGTGTTTATGTCATGCGCATAAAAACAGGGCAAATAACAGCTTTAGGCTACTTCCCTGTGACTGTTTTGATTTCGACTCTAACGAGGGAGGAAAGTGAAAGTGTGTTGTTTGATTTAAGTTATAGCTGATTTAACCTGAGTTGGAAGAATCAGAGATCTTACTTTCACTGCAGCTCTTCATGATCTTGTCGCTGATCATCTGATCCGGGAGTCCAACAGATTCAATCAGCCGGATAAAGCCCTGAACTCGAGCAAAACCAGCTTCATTTGCAGCACGTTTGTCCAAACTGAAAGACATGAATGTGAAATTGAGTGTGTGAGACCCACATACTGTAAAAAAAAAAAAAAAAAAAATCTGAGGTAATCCATGGAGAAAATGATGCTGCTCTTTAATAGTCCGGTGTGATGCAGCATCTACACCATGATGTAGTCATCTTGGTGCAAAGCTGTAGTGTGTATTGCAAAGTTATTTTCATAATCCTTCTTTCCAAAGGCCTATTTCATTATTTCCCATTAAATATGCCAATAACAAGCCTAAAGGCCACATATTGAAATTAATGCTTATGAACTCACATCAGCCAATTTCTATATCAGTTAATTAATCAATTCAGCTTCTTATTAGAAAGACTACGAACTGATTGATCTGTTACCAGAGTCGAGCTCCATCCCCAACGTCCCATATAGCTCACAGTGCTGTGATTTGCATATTCTAGTCTGCGCATCTGTTGATAGGTTATTAAGCTTTGTTCATTCTTTGACGGGTCACATGATAAAGAATACAATGTCCCAGTTCAGGGTATTTAGGACACACCAGGGTGGCAATTAAATACGAGACAAACCGTGGAGCAAATGCCAGTGCACAATGTAGCAACAGATTTATTTACCTCCTGAGGATTTTTTGATGTTGTTGTTGTTGTTTGTTTGTTTTGTTGTTTTTTTTTTGTATTTTTGCTTGAAGTCTAGTATCAAATAGAATTAAAGCTGTGACAAAGACTTAAAGTGTTTCAGCTCATACATCCGATTTTGGAAGTGAGAGCAAAGCCAGGGGAAATCACCTACAGCTTCTCTTCACACTCATTTATCAGATTCAAACTCACTGAAATGTGAAATGAAGCGAGAATATTCTTTTTTTTTTGTCTTCACAAACCTAATCCTCTCTAATCAGCTATTATTCAATTATTGCGCACTTTCAATCGTTCGGGGATAATTTGCGGCACACTTTTTGGACAGCTGGGCAGATAATGACGCAGAGGAGAGTCTATGGAGATGAGTGGACGCGCACGATGGAAGCGGAGATATGGTCTTATCAATGGGACATGTGGTGATGAATAAATAAATAAAGAGGTGGTTCCTGCGGGACTGTTTGGCGCCCGCGCGTCAGGCTGTCAGTGATGGTCAAACCCACAGCAGATTTACTGCTGCTTTGTAATCTGAACTGTGATCAGGAGATGTGGCATCACCCCGGTCAAGTCAGTTATTGGGCTCTGTTGTTCCTGCGCGTCATGTCACGGAAATATCACGCGTTTTTTTTATATTATAATACCAAAGGAAAACGAGTCTCTGACATTTAGTTCAAGGCTTTGTTTTAAATTATTTATTCGCCTGATAATAAGTCAGTGTGAAAATCAAATCTTGGAAGTCAAGTGGTCCAGATGTTATAAAGAACTAGAGAGAGAGAGAGACTGCAATTACCTTCAGCATCTCATGAGAAGCTATTAGAGACATTTCATTAGAGGTGAATGAAGAGATCAATGCCATACCAATAGCTATGCTAATGAGGTTTCTACAGCACACACACACACACACACACACACACATACACACATACACACACACACACACACACACACACACACACACACACACACACACACACACACATACACGTGCCGATGACTTCATCCAATCACATCCATCCACTTAGATTAGGATGCAGACAGAAACCAATTTCTGCGTCATACTGTACATCTCATCTCATCTTAGTTCAAGCCTCGGCTTCACAGGTCTGAAATCAGCCACAAAAAGAAAGAGGAATAAAATGATCTTAAGCATCAGGGAAAGTAAATTTGGTAGAAGATTTTTTTTGAAAGCAGGTATGGACACTTTACAGGAATTATTTATTACCCTTTCATTTCTTTTTTTTTTAAACCCCTGTGGGTTTATAAAATGTTTACCCTCTGTACGGGCAAATATAACATGAGAGATCTGGCATTGAATTTACAAATTACGGGGCTTAAAGTTCCACATTATATTGAGTTTTTCTAAAAGTGAGGTAATGGAGGTCAGTTTTTCTGATATTGATCTCTTCCACAATCTAAATAATATCAATCCGGCTTTAATTTCTATAATAATGTTGTTTTTTGTCAAAAACTCTCAGGCCTGTCCCATACAGACAGATTAAACAGCAAGTCCTTATACAGGCCGAGGGGGAAATGAATGATGCCAGTAAAAAAAAAAACAAACAGTGTTTTGGGACCATGTATTGAGGAATACATGGTAGTTTGTGAGCAATATTGCCCCTTGCTTTATTTAATAGGCATTTTCTTTTAGTCAACATCTGTAGCATAAACCACGTGGTTCAAGAACCCAAAATACAATGTCCATGACCATTCACCACTTTGAAGAACATGAACAGAAGTATGGAGGACCGGAACGGCCAAAATCTAAAATAAAGAATTAGGTAGATGACTCAATAAATAAACACACTTTTGGGTTTCTATTGTTTCATAATTCAGAGGTCCACAAGGATTAATGACAAATGCACTACAGAAAAATGATCATGGAAGATTAATGTAACATAACCTAATTAAGACAAAAAAATGAAATTCCATGACTTTTCCAAAACTTTAACAAATTTACTCACCAACTTTAATTACTTTAAAATTTCACGGCCTTCAAAGACTTTCACAGGAACCCTGTAGAGAAATAAAGAAAAACAACATGAGAAACGTGGAGGTGAATTACTGAATGACACTATAAACTGCACAGACACCCTCTGATTCACTGAGAGAAGCAATCAAATACTCAATCAAATACAACAGCCTTTGTCCGGTTGTTTTCTGTCAATTGTCTAAATTATGTATAATAGAACACATCTCTATATAAATAATTGTTCATTCATTCATTGCAGCTCTTCAATAAAAAAAAAAAAAGCTTTGGGGTTAAAAGAGTCCGGGTCAGTCATATTCTGGCAGAGTTTCTGAACCATGGTCAGCTCTTTCTGTCTGATCTATCTTTGTCTTTGTTTGAGGCTCCACAAATGGCTCTTCTAATCTAGCTAATTGCGTTTCCAAGAGCCCGGGGTTTAAGGAGAGGAGCTGGGTCACCATCTAACCGTTGATCAAAACATCCTATTAAGGTGAAGAAACAAAAGGCTCTCACAATCCTAACAATGTGCCACTGGTGATTCAACAGTTTGCTCTGTGGGCACAAAGCATTAATTAGGGCAATAACTTCATGCTATTGCCGTTCTATAGTCTCCATTTCTGTATGAGTGCATCTATTTATGCTCTGAAGTTTGTCGGGGACTCTGACTTGCCGAGTGTGCCGCATTCCCCTGTTGCATGTGCAGATGTGTTATTGGCATAATGAGGAGAATACTTTGGGAAACGTGGGAGCAAACCCCCCACCCCCCCCCAACCCCAACCCCAAAACCCCAACCCCAACCCCCCCGTCCCAACACTGAAACTTTCTTGACAAAATAATATTCCTCAATGTGGTTACTTGTAACAAGAATTGACATAATTACTTGGGCCCATTTCTTGTCTAATTAGCACACTTCCACAGTGGATAGGGACTAGCAGTTAGGCAGGAGAAGGGAATCGGACAGGCATGGCAGTAGCAACACAAAAAGGGGCCCCTGGTTTCAGCGTAATTAGGTGAGACAATGCCCCTGACTGTTTTGAGCCATGGCAGCGGCTCAGAGTCGGGGCCGAGCAGGCGAGCGGACGCCCCGTGAGGTACATCTCCCTGAGACCCTAATAAGCCCCTAATTGTCTTTTTTTGATTCACATGGGCTGCACCAGCAGACATGAAACCAGCCTATTCCTGGTCTCCTGCAGAGATCATGGCCCTCGTCCTGCAGAAAGGGAGATTTGATTTGAGTTGACTCACTCAGGACCTTTACTGTTTGGCCCCAAAACTCCAGACAGCTTGTAGACCTACTAACATCCTGTGACAGCGTCCCAAACCTGGAGAGCTGCCAACGTGTTCAAAACAGAGACATGTTTCTTAATAGACATCCATTGTCATCAATACGTTATTTTTTTTTTGGTTTTGCCACTGCCAAGGAAACGCAGTCAGAAAATCCTGATATCTGTATGCAGTCACTTTGGCCAAATAATCTGCTGAATATGGTGAATCCTGAACGCACAGCAAAAAAAAATCCTGCTGTAGAATAAAAAAAACACTTGAAAGAAAATACTGTTGTGAAGGAAAATAATGTACCTGTGATATTATTGCTTTTATAGGACTCACAGGACGTTTGTCATGTTATCTGATTCTTTGCTGATAAAAGAAATTCTTATCACAAAAAGTGACTCAATAAGGCCTTTACAGATCAATAGTTTGTGCAGACATTGAAAAAACATATTGCAGCTTTAAAATGTGGAAT